CACTTCCTCTCTCTCTGCCTACTGACAAAGTTTAGATACAGCCCATCATTTCCAGACTGTCAAGATCTCTTTGGATCCATGTTCTGCCATTCAAATGTTTATCTGTTCCTCTTGGATTCGTGTCATTAGCAAATTTCATAAGCATACCATCTGTGCTTTTTGTTTAAGTTATTGATAAAAATGTTGAATACAATTGCCCTGAAATTGGAGCAGCGCTGAAGCCTGCTCCAACCAGCCCCTAAGAGCCAAATGTTACATTTTCAGTGTAAGCATTTCTACCTTAGAAATTGGCAAATGCTAAAAATTAGGGCTTGATTTATTGTTTTGTTGATTTCTAGACTTAACAAAGTTATAGAGAAAACATTAATAATTCATATTATTATATTTTTAAAGAGCCAGTTGTTAAATATTTACCAGAACATCCTTGAATCCACCCAATTGCATCATCGGCCAGTCCAAATCTCTCCATCATGTGAATGGATAGCATGAAAGGTTTGCCAACAGCCTTGCTGAAATTGATAACATCCTCCCAGTTTGTTGGTTTATTCTTTTTAAAGGTGAAGATGACCTGTGATTTAAGTGATATAGGATACTTCTACTGTGCAATCTCCCTTCAATAATGCATATCAGAGATTTGTCTGTAACTTCTCGTGTTACAGGGTTGCTTAGGCCACCAAAAGATTAAGTCACTATATAACAAATAGTTATATAGCTATGGGCATCTAGGTGGCCTAGCAGATAGAGCACCGGGCCTGGAGTCAGGAAGAGATGAGTTCATATTTGGCCTTGGATACCTACCAGCTGTGTGATCCTGGGCAAGTCACTTAATCCTGTTTGCCTCAGTTTCCTCATCTGTAAAATGAGCTGAAGAAGGAAATGGCAAACCACTCCATTATCTTTTCCAAGAAAACTCCAAATGAGGTCATCAACAGTCAGATATGACTGAAACAACTGAACAATAGCAGAGATGACACTTATCTTCTACTATTCCTCTATACAAATGTACCGACTAGAGTTAGAGCATTTGTATAGAGGAATAGTAAAAGACAAGGCTGGAAGGTAAGTCAGAGGCAGATTATAGAGTGCTCTGAATGCTAGACTAAGTAGTCTGGATGTTATCCTGTAGACAAAGGAGTTTGAATATTATCCCAACATGCACCACTAGCACAGCCTTCAAGAACTAAGGGTCACTTTCACACCACAGTGAGGCACTGGGGAAGGATTCTGTTTAGGCTATAATGCGGTTGAGCTATTAATAAAACAAATATGAATCAATAATGTGACAGACACCAAAATGGTCAATAGGAGCTTAGTATTAATATTAGTAAACTAATATTGTTGGTATTAATAAAAGCATAAATGTTGCATAGTAGATAGAGGGCTGACCTTGGTTCACGATGATCTGGGTTGAGGTCCAGCCTCTGACACATACTGGCTTATGTGACTCTAGGCAAATTACTTAAGCTCTCAGTGACTCACTCAGGTAGTCTGCCAAAGCTGTAAGTTGAACTATCACAAGTATTTAAGACTAAGAACCATTTCCTACTGGAAAAGCAGCCACAGGATATGAACAGTTTTCAAAAGAATTAAAAACTAAATCATCTGAATGATAGCTCTAAATTACTAAGAAAACGAAAATCAGAACAACTCCCAACTTTTGACTCACATCCAAGCAAAAGGGCAAAAGTGATGGAAGATGGGAGGAGTTGATATTGAAAGGCCCGCAGGAAGACAGGCACAATAGCACATTGTTGGTGGAGTTATGAATTGGTTCAAACATTCAGGAAAGCAATTTGGAATTATGCTAAGTAAATGATCAAAACGTCCATGCCCTTTGACTCAGAGATACTACTACTAAGCACACAGATCAAGGAGGGCAAAGGTAGATAGAAATGTCTCCTATTTTTTGTTGTTTTGGGTCAGTCATTTTCAGTTGTGTCTGACACTTTGTGACCCCATTTGAGGTTTTCTTGGCAAAGATACTGGAGTGGTTTGTCATTTCCTTTTCCAGCTCATTTTACAGATGAGGAAACTGAGGCAAACAGGGTTAAGTGACTTGCCCAGGGTCACACAGCTAGTAAGAGTCTGTCGAGGCCAGATTTGAACTCAGGAAGATGAGTCTTCTAGACTTGAGGTCTAGCACTCTATGTACTATGGTGCCACCTAGCTGCTACGATGCATCATACAGACCAAAAGTGCTATTCATAGCACTTTTTTTTAGTAGCAAAGTAACAATGTAGATGCCCATCACGTGGAGACTGGACAGATTGTTGTACGTAAATGCAATGTAAATATTATTGCACCATACAAAATGATGATTAAGAATACAGAGAATTATGGGCCGAGGCAAAGCGAAGTAAGCAGAATCAGGAAAGAATATACAGTAACTCCAACAGAAATGAAAAGAGCAATAAGAGGGGGAGCTAGGTGGCACAGGAGAGCACCGGCCCTGGATTCAGGAAGACCTAAGTTCAAATCTGCCCTCAGATACTTGACACTTACTAGCTGTGTGACCCTAGGCAAGTCACTTTACCCCACTGCCTCATGCAAAAAGCAAAACAAAACAAAGACCAAAAAAACCAAACAAACAAGAAAAGAGCAATAGGAAAATAAAACTTGAACATTGTGTAATTATAATAAACAAGCCTGGCCCCTCAGAAGAAAGGAGAAAATGTGACTCCCTTCTCAATAGAAGCTGGGAATTACACATATGGAACATCTGATCCTCACGACAGCCCTGGAAGGTAGGTGCTACTGTTATTTCCATTTTACAGTCTTAGGATCTTAATAATCTAGTTGGGGAGACACCAGTAGCTAGCATTTATATAGCACTTTAGGATTTACAAATGCTTTATACAGGGAATCTCACTTGATTCTCCACCACAAGCCAAGACTCCTGCATTCTGTCATGAAGCACACAGAGAACACTGGGCCTGGAGTCAAGAAGACCCGAGTTCAAATCAGGCCTCAGACGCTTACAGGCTGTATGACTCTGGGCAAGTCATTTAACCTGTTTGCCTCTGTTTCCTCATCTGTAAAATGGAAATAATAGCACCTCCCTCCTAGGCTTCTTGTGAGGATCAAATGAGACCATATTGTGCCCTTAGCACAGGGCCTGGCACATAGTAGGTGCTTCCCCGAGATTCCAGAACCTTTGACTGCATCTCTATGTCTCTTGGCTTTGATAAAGTGAGCTTTCATCTTATGCCGGCCAGGACTAACCACCCCCGGATGCTTCCCCACCGTGTCCACATCACATACTACTGACTGGGGACTGACACATACTACACGCTTAGCCAATGTTCTCTCTCTCTCTCTCTCTCTCTCCTCTCTCTCTGGCATAAACATAGGGTTTAACTTTAGAGATAAGAATTTGTCCTTCTCTGGAGCTAGAGAAAAATCTGTATCTATGATTTCACGACCTCAATAAAATCAGATGTATCATCATCTGAGAGTAAAGCAGAAAGGATTGGGGGCTTGAGAAGACAAAAACTGTAGGTCGGCTAATGGAATGTTGCTAGCATCTGTCCTCTTCATTAACAACGGGCACAGCGTCTTGATCATCTGTGTCTCTGGAAATGGCTCCTTATGAAGATATACCAGAGGTGGGACCGACTGGACAGTTATGCAAAAGACCTGCTTCCTGATGGTAAGAAACACTTCAACTGAGGGGCCTGTGATAGCTGCCAAACGGATATAGCATTTGTTGAGAGATGCCAGGGGTCTGGTCTACACAGCAGGCTAGGCCTTCAGTTCCACATCTTCCTCCGGCAGTACTCTGCAGCCTAGCAGCTCTAGCGAGGGTTAGTGGCTGGTGCAAAGGGAATAGGGAACAGCAGCATAAAGGGGCAGGTAAAGGGAACCAAGGCGGTGGTGAGGGTACCACTGATGCCATTGGCCATAGAGTTTAAGGGGTTGTGAAGAAAGTCAAGTGTAGCCACAAGGGGGCTAAATGGATGTGAAGGAAGGGTTGAATACTAAGTCATGTATTAAATGGTAACCTACCCAGACTGTTGATCGAAGTAAAACATTCAGAATTAAGTGAGAGTTATATTGAGTAATTTGTTCCATTTGTTTGGAACTCTTTTTTTTTTTTAAGGGATGTGGATTTCGTCTGGAGAAAAATGAAGACAAGCAGTTCAATCGTGTTCCCTGATTACATGGAACCATCTGTTCTCTGTCTTCATTGAGGACAGAACAAGACAAAATTCATCTAAATTGAAACCAGTAATATTCACGTTTACACAGAGCCGAGTGCTGACAGCAGCAGCTGGGAAAACGGGAAAGTGCGGCATCTTCCATTCTGAAGATTACTACTTACTGTGCACACAACCTTCACAAAAACAATTTACCCTGGCCACTCTATACTGACCTTGAGTTCTTTTATGGAAAACACATTACTGCTTAAACCAAATTACGTCAAGTGAAACAAAACTAACAAAACCACAATGGGGGAGATTGGCGAGATCTTGGGCCCCATGATTATTTAAGAAGAATTTACATAAAGTTCGATGGCTATGAAACAACATCACAGACCCCAGGAACCTCCTCCACTCATTAACCAAATGGGCATCACTAAAGTCATAGAAATTGTTGGTCTGTCTGGCTAATGAAGACAGCCAACAGTCTGCCAAGCCCTTAGCAAAAGGGTTAATGGAGAAGGCAGAAAAGTCATAGGAACCCTTTGAAAAGCAGCTTGAAAAGCAGCTTGAAGAGGAGCTAAATGTGGTCCAGAGTACCAAATTATCTGCAGTTTGCCAAATGTCCTCTGGACCACCTGGAACCTTCCACTCTAGTAACAGACAAAAGTCACAGACAGAGCTTATGAGGCCTAACAACAGCGGGCATCTCCTCAGGGTCTGTTCCCTGTATCATGAACAGCATAGGAGTAAATCTGCACAGGGCCCTTAAAGCAGATCCTCAGTACAATAGAGGGATGTTTTATGTAGACTCCTGCAGGGGGGAGAGCCAGGCAATGGGGTAAGAAACCTGCATTCCAATGGTGAGAAACATTTTAATTGAAGGTTCCAAAGTTCACAAAACCAAAGAAAGACATTTGGATTTCAGTCACACAAAAACTGAAACACAAAGGAAACATCTGAATTCTTTGCTTTTACTTTATGAAAAATTCTTTCAAGGGTCCCAAGGACCAACCCCCACAGCTATAGGCTGCTCCAGAAGAGGTAAGGCAAAGATACAACATATTTTAGCAGCATTCTAAAAGTCTGACTGTTCAATCTTATGGAGATAATTCGGTAACTCATTCAATTAATACATCTTCTGCTTCCTCCACTGGAAAAATAGGAAAGTTTTTTTTTAAACTATTGTTTATAAAATGCTTTCAAAATCTTTATAAGTAAAGGCCCCCAAATGATACAATCCTAATGGCAGTATATACTCATTGTAGATCTCTCTCCTCACTGTAAATTAGTTTATGTCATAAATAAAAACCAGTTTCTCTCCCCTGCTTCAAACAGCCTTTGTTGTGACATTCCACTGCTTCTGCTAATGGGGTGAAATACTGGCTTAACACATAATTAAAAAAAATAAACCAAGAAATAGAATGAAACTAAATGGGAAATTTCATGAGAAAGAAAATAGACTGAGAAAACATGCCATTTAACAGGTTTTTCAAGCCACTGCTTGAATCTGTATTGAGCACCTCCCCTGTTCAAGGCTCCATGCTACATAACAGTGGCTTTTTCATTTGCCACACGCAAACATTAAACAAGGAAGCTATAATGGCACCTATGACCAAATTAAATTTTTTCACTGGTTTTTTTTTCCCTACTTCTGTTTCCCTAAACTACCATTTCTGCTAGCAATGGTAGTCCATAAGACTAAATATTAGCAGGAGAGGCTTTCAAATCAGAATCCTGACATGAGACATAAGAAAAGTTCTTGTCAATTTAAGGTTTTATTCCTTCCTAATAATAATGTTGGTCTTTCATATACAAAGGTGGCACCACACACCCACCAGTAAGGTATACCTGCTGAGCTGCTTTTCCAAGAGTGGGGATGGGGTTGCAAGGACTGCACAGTCTCATTCTGGACCTTCTGAGACTTGAGGCATTTATGTGGGAGGGGCAGGGGGCAGTCTGTAACTGTGAAACCTAACAAAGGTAATAGGGGAATCAAAGTGACTTTAGTCTCATCATGCTCATACATGATCTCTGCCCACTCCAAGTCATGCTGGCCATATTACTTACCAAAAATGTATTATTTATAAAACCCATAAACTTAAGAAGCCAAGAATTTCATTATAAAAACATAGATTTTTTTTAACACTGCTGAGTTTGCACACACACAAAACCTTGCAGAGAATCTTTCTGCTATTTATTCATTACTTAGTTTTATAAAATTAAGGGAGCCCAGTAAGACATATCATAATCAAGTATTTCATGAAAGTGGCTCGGAGTTGTTCAGTCACAATGAATTTGGCTAATCCAAGAATCATACTGTCTTAAGTTATAAAAAACTGTGTACCATGAGCACACAGTTGACACACTTAAGAAAAACTACCAGAAACCCCCAGTCAGGAAGGAGGAAAACTCTTCTTGAAATAAAAATGTTTATGGTAATGAACCTCTCTACTTGGAGTCTGTTGGAGATGGCAAAGTCCTTTATCTTTCCAGAGGATAAGATAAACCTTATACTCACTATTACAGACACAAGACAGAAATGAAAACCATTGTACTTGGCAATGGGACAATAAAGAAAAACTGAATTATTCGAAAAAAGAAGCTGGAAGGCTTTTAAAAAACTCCAAGCTGGCTACAGTACATTTATCCTTAATATCCTCACAATAATTTCTTTCCACAATAAGAAAGTATTTCCAATTATATTTTTCATCCCTTATCAACTCACTGCTAACCCACCCCATGCACGTGCCATCAAGGTCAGACATCTTCTGCTCTGCCCCAGCTCCGCCTCTTCAGGCCACCCGAGCCAGCCACTTCTCAAAGTCCTGGATGTCAGCAGAGCCGTCGTCTCCCATAGCTCCCTTGGCGCTGCACTCCAAAAATTCCACCTTCATTGGCAATTGAGAAAATTCAAATTCTTTGCCCTTCTTTCCAAGCTGAGTGATAACAGCTCCTGAGCTCTCCAGTGTGCTGGGGGCAGCAGTGCGAGTAACTCGCAAAGTATTACTGTCAGATCAAGGAAAGACATAAATTAGAAAAAGTAGGAAGGCCAAATTTCTACAGTACTGAAGATCCTTAAGAAACTAGAATATTTCAGAAGTCTCTCATAGCACTTATACTTCATATACATTATACTATAATGAAATTTCATTTTAAAACTGTTTTTTAAACAAAATAATTTTGCCAACTGTAATTTAATTTTTTCTTCCTGATACTGAACTAGGACGCACATGTAAATCTTACGAAGAATCCTTTACACATTATTATTCTATTTGCCTTATTCCCCCCAGAACTTTCATGCTTCTCTCTCACCTTGCAACAACACTATGAGATAAGAAGGGTGAATAAAGAAATTGAGGCACAAAAAGATGAAATTACTTGTCCACATGTGCAGCCCTAGTCCTGCCCTTTCCACTAAGTCATACCTGCTTCCCAAATGTTCTAAATACCAGTCCCCCTTTAGTAACCCTTTTCTTTCACAAGATTAGAATTTTAGAAGTTAAGTTTTCTTAAAGTATTATGAACATATTTTTATACTCATATTAGCTAACATCAGAGAAACATCGAGGTCCCTTTTAACTCTAGTTCTATTGTGCTAAGATTATTCATTTGCACTTCAACCTGATTATTATTTTTAATTAGATTATTAGGAAAGTCTCAATTTAAAGCATCTTAGTGCCATCTACTGGCTATTAAGTAGAGGTAAGCATTACTCCCAAAGTGTTTCTCTGAAGTGGTACAGTCGGAGATAAAAAGCTTGTCACTCTTTTTCCCAACATGATTTGCTTCCAACTAAAGTAGTGGAACACAGAATAGGTCTACAAAAAAACCTTCATGAATAAATGAATGAATGAATGAATAAATGAATGAATGAAAAGCATTTATTAACATTACATGCCAACTGGTCAGTCAATAAACATTTATTAAGCAAATACTATGTGCCAGGTTCTGTGAAGACTGTGGATAAGCACTAGGGATACAAAAAAAGGCAAAAGAGAGTCAGTCCTTGTCCTCAAAGAGCTCACAGTCTAATGGGGAAGACAACATGCAAAAAAGCTATAGTGGATAGATAGTCAAAATAGTCAGAGGGAAGGCACCAGAATTAAGGGAGATTGGAAAAGGCTTCCTATAGAAGGTAGGATTTTAATAGGAACTTGAAGGAAGCTAGGAGGCAAAGCTGAAAAGGGAAAGCATTCCAGGCATGGGGACAGCCATTGAAGCTTGACTGCAGAGCACATTAGGACTGGGAATGGGGGGAGGGAGATGGCATAAGGTGTAAGAAGACTGAAAAGATGGGGAAAAGGAACTGGTTAAAAAGAGTTGTGAACACCAGAGTATTTTATATCTGATGTTGGAGGTGACCAAGAGTCAGTGGCGTTTATTGAGTACAGAGGTGACATGGTCAGACATCACCTTGGAAGATCACTTTGACAGGTGAATGGAGAATGGCCTGCCATGGGGAGAATCTTGTGGCAGCAAGACCAGTCTAAATGCTGGGACACAAATACAAAAACAAGAGAGTACCTTCCCTCAAGGATTTAAATTAAAACTGGATGAAACAACATGTTGAAGGGAATAGTGGCCAGGGCAGAATATTTTGCTCTGGAAAGTCACAGAGACAGTGAATGATGCCACAGAACAGTCACGATGATGAGGCCTTGGTTTGATGATGAATCCCAGAACAAGAGTGTGTGCAGGTACAGGGAGAGATGGAGGGGGGGAAGTGCAGTGGATACAGGACAGCAAGGCAGTTGGCAAGAAGACAGACTGAGTCAATGGCTAGATGGGATGTAAAGAATGGGATGGTCTGGGGCTATCTGTGTGAGTTTGCTCTCATTCACTTACCCATGAGGACACATCAGCTCCAAAACTGGGTGGATTAACTCTCCTAGGACTTGGTCTCTGAAGGCTCAGTCTGGTGGGTGTAGTAACACCCAATTAACTATTTCTGTAGCCATTCTTGAAAGTGTTTTACTTAGAAACCCAAGTAAAACAGGACAGAATCTCCTGTCCTAGAGACTGAAAGCAGTAAGATAGGAATATAGTAAAAAGAACTTTGGTTTAAAGAGAGGGAATGCAAAGACTACAGCACAGGGAGTCCTTCTCTTGAGTACTGAGGTATCACTGTCTCAAAGTAAGAAAGGTTAAGGAAAATTTTATTCAGTGTTGAGGAGGAGGTGGAGGGGGGGAAATTGGTTCCTTTTCCCAACTCACTGCAAATGATGTAATCACACAAAGTAAGGGGAAGAGAATGGAAGGTACAAAGCATTAATAAGTCAAACTAAGTACAAAAATATGTCTATGCCCTGTTATCCAGCTACAAAGTGAGAAAAGTACAGGCCCTGGTAGAATTAGAAAAGCAACTGGTTATGGACAGATTGGCTGAAGATTGGTCATGCTCTTGGTGGCCTTCAAAAAGCTAAGCCTGACAGCCCAGGAGAAGCAGGAAGCAGCTGTGTAGAAGTATGATCACTGTCCTCTTGGTAGAGGATGAAGAGGGAGAAAAGGGGGTTGTATTTTCTCCCTGTTCTCACAGGCTATGGCATCTGCCACTCACCAGTAGTAGCAGAGAGAGAAAGAGACAGAGAGAAAGTTGGGGGTGGGTGGACAGGAAGCAGCTTCAAGAAACACGACTTTGACCCAAAGACCCCAGCTTCTGGGATAAGAACCCACTCTTTGAAAAAAAGACTGCTGGGAAAACTGGAAAAGAGTATGGCAGAAACTAGGCATAGACCCAAATCTCACACCACATACCAAAATAAAGTCAAAATGGGTTCATGACTTAGATATAAAGGCTGATACCATAAGTAAACTGGGAGAACAAGGAATAGTTTACCTATCAGATCTATGGAGAACAGAAGAATTCATGACCAAACAGGATAGAGAACATTATGAAAAGCAAATGGATAATTCTGATTACGTTAAATTGAAAAGTTTTTGCACAAACAAAGCCAATGCAACTAAGATTAGAAGGAAGATAGAAAATTGGGAAAGAATTTTTACAACCAGTCTCTCTGATAAAGGCCTCATTTCTAAAATATATAGAGAATTAAGACAAATTTATAAGAACACAAGCCATTCCCCAATTGATAAATGGTCAAAGGATATGAACAGACAATTCTCAGATGAAGAAATTAAAGCCATCTACAGTCATATGAAAAAATGCTCTAAATCGTTACTGATTAGAGAAATGCAAATCAAAACAACTCTGAGGTACCACATCACACCAACATGACAAAACAGGAAAATGATAACTGTTGGAGAAGGTGTGGGAAAATTGGAACACTAATACATTGTTGGTGGAGTTGTAAAATGATCCAGCCATTTTGGAGAACAATTTGGAACTATGCCCAAAGGGCTACAAAAATGTGCATACCCTTTGATCCAGCAATAGCTCTTCTAGGGCTATATCCCAAAGAGATCAAACAAATGGGAAAAGGACCCACATGTACAAAAATATTCATAGCAGCTCTTTTTGTGGTGGCAAAGAACTGGAAATTGAGAGGATGCCCATCAATTGGGGAATGGCTGAGCAAGTTGTGGTATAGGAATGTAATGGAATACTATTGTGCTATAAGAAATGATGAACAGGCTGACTTCAGAAAAACCTGGAAAGACGTATATGGTCTGATGCTGAGTGAAGTGAGCAGAACCAAGAGGACTCTGTACACAATAACAGCCACATTATGCAATGACTAATATTGTTAAACTGAACCCTTCTCAGCATTACCAGGATCTAAGACATCTCCAGAGGTCTCGGGATGGAAAATGCTGTCCACATCCAAAGAAAGAACTATGGAAGTCGAATCGCTATCACTTATTTTTACCTTCTGTTGAGTTTTGTTTCATCTTTCTGATGGTTCCTCCCCATTGGTTTTAATTTTTACTTACAACTTCACTAATGTGAAAATATGTTTAATAGGAATGTAAATGTAAAGCCTATATCAGATTGTGTGCCGTCTTGGGGAGGGTGGGGGGTAGAAGGGGAGAAAAATTTTCAACTCAAAAGCATATGGAGGTGAATGTTGATAAATCAATAAATTAATAAAATTGAAAAAAAAAGAAAAGAAAAAATAGAAACATGACTTTGAGCAGCAAGGAAGAGAGGCAATTATGGACTGAAGCACACTATCAGGAGTAGGGTGTGGTGGCAAGGGAATCATGAGCTAGTTTCAGGAACAGGACTCACAATGTACCTTGAACCTGATGGTAACGGCTACCCTCTAGGGAATCCAATTCATGAGTATGAGTGCCAGGTGGGGAGGTAACCCAGCGTGGTGTAATATTTGCAATTGTTAAAAATATTTTTAGACTAGTAAATTTCACAGATTTCCCTACATAGCTATTAAATCTCTAATCCTCAACTAAAGTCCTACTCTGGTGCCTCACTGTGGTCCAGAGGAGACCTTGTGTTCTTGAAGGTTATTCCAATGGACTGCAATTTGGGGTGATTAAGGCTTTAAGTAGAGGCATAGAGATAAGCTGTTGCTATCCTCAAAGTCCAACCTAGATATGTACAATGTCAGCACTAGAAGGTTGGGTGCCTGGTAATAACTTCTTTGGTTCATGGTGCTCCATAAGAATTCATGCACTAATACAATCTAAGTCTGTAAGAAAGAGTACCCACACAATCATAAATAAAAGTAACAAACTAACTGCTCAGTAAAGAACTTGCTTTATTTTTTAGCACATAATGTTAACATCAGAATCAAGTTTCATGTTAATTTATATAATAGAGTTGAATTGGACTTCAAGACTAGAAGCAGCAAGATATAGTGAATCTGGAATCAAAGACCTTAGTTCAATTTATGGCTCCTACATTTACCAGCTGTGTGACTACGGGCGAGTCGCTCAATTTCCATATTTGTGAAACGGGGATAACAACATTTGAACTCCTTGCATAACAGGGTTGTTGCAAGGAAAGCGTTCTGTAAACCATAAAGAGTTAAGTAAATGTGAGCCTTTAGTCTAATTCTTCCCTTACCGTCCTAATCCAATGCTTCGCTGTGGCACAGTGATTCAGGGCTCATGAAGGCCAGGCCAGCACTGTGACGGCTCCAGAAGTCCCCAATGTGTGTGCTGTCGGAGGACCGACCTGGCCCAGTCAGAAGCAGCACAGCAATCAGCTGGCTACAGGCTGAGGAAATTCTCAGCTACAGCAATTCTTGAAGACAATCTATTCAGTCTCAGAAAGGATGCAATCTATGATGGTACAGGGAGTACTCACATTTTTTAAAAGCTGGGCCTTTGACTTCATGCTCACAATGTGGATCAGCAACTCATCTGTTGATGTATAGTTACTATGAGAGTTGCCTTGGGCACAGGGATTAAGTGACTTTCTCATGGGTCACACAGTTACTTATAATGAATAAATGACACCTAAATTTAATATACTAAATATAATTTAATAAGCAAAAACGTTATGCACAAAATATTTTGTGTTTCAAATGGTGACTTTAGATCTGTTCAGGGCTGACTTTTCTAAAAGTTCTAAAAGCATATTTTTCAATCTTTCCAAAAATTTCTTTATTTTGGGAAAGTTTCTAATGCTTTAAAATTTCCAAAAATCTCACTTCTCTACTGCTAACAATGATTCAATTCATAGCTTCATCTCTGTATACACAGACTAGTTTTTTAAAATAAAAGTTAATAATTTCCATAATTATTTCCAGTCAGATCAAAACATCCAACCCTATGGCTATATACTGCATGGTATTTAAAATCAGGAAATCCCCTCCATCAATATATGTAGAGGCTCTGATATCTAAGCAACAAGCTGAGAGACAGTGGCTAAGTCATCTCCCTTTTCTGAGTCTTAATTTCTCTATCTGTAAAATGAGGATAACAATGTGCTACCTTCCCCCTAAGGTTGTTTTGGAAAAAAGCACTATGTAAGCCTTAAAGTTACTGTCATTCATTCATTTATTTATTTATTTTTGTCCAGGCAGTGGGGTTAAGTGACTTGCCCAGGGTCACACAGCTAGTAAGCGTTATGTGTCTGAGGCCGCATTTGAACTCAGGTGCTCCTGACTTCAGGGCTGGCACTCTATACACTGTGCCACCTAGCTGCCCCAATAAAGTTACTTTTACTTATACATATATAGATATAGCACATCTATATATTACATATGCACAGATATAGTATATAGATAGACAGATATAGATATGTATGTATAGGTATACATACATAGGTAAATATGTGTATACACATACAGAGAAACATACACATACAGACATATATATCTCAAAGATTTTAAAGTGCTCATAATTTCTGACACCCAATTTTTTAAATGACATGGATATACTCAAAAGCCTTAGATCCATACTCACAGTTCTTTTTCCAGCTGCTGCTGAATTAATTTGGCAGATTTTGCCATTGTGAGATCTAGAAAGATGAAGATGTTATCATTGGTTTAAATCAGGAATGATATTAGTAATAAGCCCTCCTACACAGAGGCACTTTCATGTTTGAGCAGTCTTTTATAGATTTTTTTCTTTTAAAAAAGGATGACCTTTATTTTCTTTCCTTCTCCACCACAGAGCAACTGTATCTGCACCTACAAGTTGTTTTAAATCGAATTACAATGCTAGACAAGAGAGGCATAATTTTAAATGTAAAGTGAAAATAATTTAGCAGCTCTGAAACACCTCATTAAAATAAAAATGATCAACAGGTATTTTCCTTTGTAAGTCTTTGAAAGAGGCTATTAGGACTACTGAGGCTGAGCAAGATCACAAAATGAGAGTCATGGAGCTAAAATCAGGGTTCAAAATACCTTAATTTATACTTAGTTATTCACAGTTGCTATCTCTTTTAATATCATAGTAAATGCTCCTCCCAATCACTAAGTTTAATAAACATTTGCATCACTCAGGATACACTGTCAAAATGTATGAAGATGTCAAAGAACGAGAAGCCAAAATGGTACTACATCTGAAGATGTGCTGAGATAATCTTACCAACATGATGATTACCTTGCTTATTGCAGGCTATCAATAAGGATGGTGCATTCTTCAATACCATGCTGTCAATAAGGACCTGATAGAGAAATTCAGCTACGTCTTTCACCTCCCGCTGGAATGTTGCACTATCCACCACAAACACAATTGCTCTGAATAAAATGAGAAAAAAAAATAAAACAGAATGAATTGTCACAATGAACTATGAGTTCTGAACTAGATCACATATGATGTCTTCCAGGCCTATATTTCAGGCATGAACCAGTAAAACAAGGGAATGCTATAGGTGGACAAATCAGAATCAGGCTCAGGACTTCCATTAGTGCATCTGCAGCTTCTAATCCACAATCATCCCTTTTTAGTCACTGAGACTCCTGTAATCCATAGGCAAATTCGAAAGCACCATATGAGAGCTTCCCTAGAAGTTTTCTCCACCCAATTCAACTCTCATAGATGACTTCATACCCTTCTTCATCTAAAGAATAACTTCATTAGTATTAAACATCCAAAAGAATGCCCCCAGAATAAGTCATTAATATCATCCTCCCCCTTTTTAAAATAAAAAACAATTAAGCAAGAGATTGAAATAAGATAAGCAATATCTTAAAAGGCTAAAGTCCAGTCAAAGTCAAGATGAAAAGCCAGACATCACTACTCTTTGCTTCCATCTTGGCCTTCTCATCACTAAGTCCTGAATTTCTTAAGGAAAATTCACTAAATAGTAGCTGAGGGCTGGACCCCCTACTCCCCTCCCAACCCTCCAGGTGCTAGAAGCTGAAAGAATACAAAATACATAATACTGGCCTAGGCCCTCATGGGATACGGATAAGAAGGAGGTGAAGGTGGATGGCCTTCTCGCAAGGGGAAGAAACCAAATGCAATGGCTTTTTCAGAGTCACACCCTCATTGCTTGGCTTCATGACATCATACATTCTGTTGGTTGACCTTCTACTTCACTGGCAAACATTTCTCATGATCCTCAATGGCTTCTCTTCCTAATGTTCCCAAGACAAGCTTTCCCCAGTGCTCAGTCCTCAGACCTACTGTCTTCTATCCTGATAGTGTTTTGCTCAGAGCTCTCATTTTCTCATATCAATGATCATCTTGTGCAAATAACACCGATTATCTTGATCTCAACCCTCAATGCTCACTCCCAAACACCAGTCATACTCCAATATCCCATTAATCCCTCAAATTCAACCTGTCTAAAGCTAAACTCTAATGCCCACTTGAGAATTGGCTTTTTGACACATTTTCCTGAAGCACACATAAGTGTGAGTCTCGCTTGAATGTGTATATTTGTTCTAAGACTTTTGTTTTTCTTCTTTTGAGGGAGAAGATGTAGAAAGGAGAAAAAATAAATTCTTTTTAACTGAAATTTTTTTACAGGTTTTTAAAAAAAGAATACAAGAGCTCAAACTTTTGATTAATAGAAGAACAGGCAGAACCTATGAGTCTCTTAGATTTCTGTTCATAGCACCAATATTCTCCAAGTCATCCAAGTTCAAAAACTCAATCACCTTTCAGTCTTTCCCCTGCCTCCCTTTTTTTTTTTGGCTAACCTCTTCATTTTACAGATGATAAAATGGAGGTGCAGAGAAGTGAGTGACTTGCCCAAGGTCACACAGATAGTAAGTAGCAGAGCTGGGATTCCAAGTCACGTCCTCTGACTCCAAGTCTGGCTTTCTTTCTTTGGCACCGTATGTGTGATGGGCCATGTGAGGAATGGTGCCTTCTTTCGGTAACTTTCAGCTTATAAGGGGAGTTAAGACACATTCTACAGCGATAGAAATAAGGTAAGAACCCTATAAATGGCACAGGAAATAGATGTTCTTAGAGTTCAGAGAAGGGAGAAATCATTTGTTTGGGATAATCAGGAAAAGCTTTGTGGAAAAGGTGGCATTTTTTGAAAAATGGGCTTTGAAAACAAGTCACCAAAAAAAAAAAAACCCCAAACCTAAAAAGGAATGACAGAAACATCAAATCAAGAACCAACATGTGATCATTCTAAGTTATGGCTAATGCCAATCTCAGCCATTCTCAATAAGCAGAGGAGAAACTCTAACTAATTCACTTAAATCAATTCAACCAACATTTTCATTAAGCACCTACTCTGTGCAAGGGACTGTGCCAGGATGCAGAGCCAGAAAAGCAAGAATTTGACAGTTCTTTGCATCACAAAGCATTTTGTACTCCACCGTGTGAATAAAACATGGGCCCTAGTAAATCAATAGAAAGTAGCTGAGTAAGAGAAAGCACTAACAAGCCACAGGGAGAGCAGACACAGGAACCCCAGAGACTTCCTAGAGCAGGCAGTCCCTAAGTTGGGCGCTGACCAGGATTCTGAAGGGCTTCTGGTGATGAGCGGGGTGGGAGGGGGGATCTGGACTGAAGAGGCTGCGGTGAGCTTTCCATTTTAGGCTGCTGAGTTTGTATTTTACTTTGGAAACTATGAGGGGATCCCAAATGAACGGTTACACTGATGGACAGGTTTTAGGAAGATGGTTTTGGCAGCTGTGCAGACAATCAGTGGGAGATGGGAAAGCCTGGAAGCAGGGAGACCAGTTAGGAGGCTACTACCATGCCCTCCATGAAAAATGGTGACAGCCTGAAGTACAGTGAGGGGTGTGAGGAAGCTTAGAGATCTCCTGAAGGTAGAAGTGATGAAACATGGAGAAAGGGAAGTGCCAATAATGAAGCTCTGGGCTTCTAATGCAGGATGTCTGGGAAGATGGCAACAGCTTCAAGAGAAATAGTAAAGTCTGGAGGAAGAGCAGGTTGGGGGGGGGGAGGGAAGGAACATAACCAGTTCTGTTCTGCCAGAAAGACAAATACTTGGATTAGATCTAGGAGGACATCTCCCATGCAAACTCTGTACCTCCTGGAGACGGTGCATAAATTCTAAACACATCAACCTATGTGTAACATTCTTCTGCAGCATTCCCTCTGTGAAACTCCTGAAGCTTTTAATATCTGCATAATGAAGTTTTCTATAAGATGCTAAAGTAGCGCAGGCTCTAAAAGGCCCCGTAAAGAGGCAGGACAAAAACAATGACCATGACTGCTGAAGAGCAGGAAGAGATGAGTGAAGAAGCAGGTTAAGTGTGAAGATGCTCCCAATGTGGTAAAGACAAGGATCTGGAGAAAAGTCATTCCATCTTTTCAGTATTATGTCACCTTGAAAACAGGTCTAGAAACAAAGTGGAAGATGTGGTCTGCGCAGATGAAGTCATACTGAGCAGAGAAAAAAATTGTGGAAGAAAAGCAGAATGGTGAGTGGGTCTCCTCATTGGAGAGAATGGAAGAATCAGAAACAGAGATGGCTATATAAAAACTCCTCTTCTGAAAAAACAATCAGGAAAGAAAATTGAGACTGAAAATTATAAAGAGTGGTGTTACTACACTGGTGGAAAAAATCAGATTGCCCAAATGAGTGCATCTAAGTAGCCATATTCACAGGCAAATACAGGAATCAAAACTATTCTCTTTTACGGGTGAAAAGGGGGCCCTTCTGAAATGAAATCTTTTTTATCAAAAATAAATCTCATCACTTCTGAAATCTGCACAACTATTTTGTGGGACTGAGGACAGGTACATTGTGGCTTTAGCAAGCTTCCCTCATTGATGTGATTTGTGCTTCACTTGATTTTTCCTAAGCATGAGAATCAGTCACTTAGTTTCCATATCATTTCATCCACAGTAAGATGTGTAGTGAATGAATTAAATCCAGAGAGCTTGGTCACGGTATGCCTATTTTCCAACTCTAACTGCCATGTGACTTGTAAAATAAAACTGGCTTTGTTTAAACAAGAGAACTGAACAGGAAAATAGTTTTTAACTGTGATTGTTTTCCTCACAAAACAGTACTTTTTAAAAAGTACTGAATTTTTAAATATCACCCAAAGCCATCCCCTTACTCCTTACCACAGACTCCTCTTGAACATATTTGAGTGAAACAAGCACACTAGCCGTATCTGACAACACACACCTCATTCTGGTCCTATGAACCAATACTCCTCTGGGGCATGTTTCATTTTCAGTCCTCTGAAGTCAAGACTGGTCGCTGTATCCATCAGATTTTTTTTTCTTTTTGGTGAAGCAATCGGGGTTAAGTGACTTGCCCAGGGTCACACAACTAGTAAGTGTTAAGTGTCTGAGACCAAATTTGAACTCGGGTCCTCCTGACTCCAAGGCCAGAGCTCTATTCACTGTGCCACCTAGCTGCCCCAGATTACTGGTATCTTTCAATGTTATTTTCCTTCACTACACAGTATTTCAAGAGGCAGTAGCAATAAAACATATATCTGGACATTTTCACAGAGAAGGAAAAAAAAATCTAATTATTTCCCCCATTAGAGTGTGAGCTCCTTGAGAGCAGGCACTGTCTTTTGGTTCTTTTTGTATCCCCAGCACTTAGCACAGTACCTGGCACATAGTAGGTGTTTAATAAATGCTTACTGACTAGCTGACTTCAATTTATAATTTCAGTTCTTGATTTCTGCCATGGATTAGGAAAGAGTTTTCAAAGACTTTTAAACTGAAGCAAAATAATTTTAGAACAGAATTTTTAAGGGGTCATTAATATTAGAACACATTGTCCAAATTATGAAATTCTTTTTCCTAAGCTCCTTAAGGTATCAGCCTTTTTTCAATTAACAAAAATGTATTTTCCTCCTGCTGTTTGCTCTCCTGACTCCTCTCCATTAGGGGGGAAAAAAAACCAACCTCTTGTAATAGGTATAGTCAAGTAAAACAAACCCCCATGCTGGCCCTGTCCAAAACTCTGCCTCACTCTACCCCCTGAATCCTTCATCTCCATCAGGAAGGTGGTAGCATAGTTCACCATCAGGCCTCTGAAATCATGCTTGGTCATTGCATTGATGAGAGTCCTTCAGTCTTTCCAAGTTTGTCTCTACAATGTTGTTCTGTACAAACAGTTCTGCTTCTGTTCACTTCACTCTGCATTAGTTAATACAAGTCTTCTTAGGTTTCTCATTTCACATGGACTAACAGTATTCCACTATATTAATATACTAGCTATTTCTTCAACAGATGAGTATTCCCTTAGTTTCCAGTTCCTGGCCACTACAATAAGAACTATTATATTTTTGTATGTATGAGTCCTTTTCCTCTTTATCTCTCTGAGCCAGAGTTAAAGCATCAGTATTGAATGATTTAGCTGTATGATAATTTACAGACAGTATTGGATTTGAAGAGCTCCTGAGACCTTTCCCAGTTCTTAGGTTCTACTTCAAGAATTTTTTTTTAAAGTATGGCCTTCATTGAGATATTTTCATGGAATGAATGTAACATTTAAATAACAAATACTAAATACAGCACCATCATAAAAGTATAGAGTGAAAATCACATAAGTAGTGTCAATTTATGTACTTTCTACAGAAGTATCAATATTATGTCTCTATTACTTACCTGGCTGAAGCCTTAAACCGTTCTAAGAATTGAAGCCTCAAGCTCTCATGACCAGGAAGATCAATCAAAGTCAAACTATTACCCTAGGAATTGACAACAATAACATAAAATTAATGTCAACAAAAACATTATTATGGAAATTCCATGTTCAGAAAAGAATAAACTTATTTACTAAAAAGCAAGTCAGGACAGGATACCAATATGCTATTTGAGAAACAACTTACTTTCACAAATTAGTATAGTTACTTTATGTACTTAATTTATAATATATGGGAAAAAGACCAAAAAAATGTGTGGAATCAATCTGAGTACTGTAGTAGGGCCTGTGGATAATTTTAAAAGGCCATGTTGTTCTCTCCTCAAGAAGTTTACGATCTAGGTGAGGAGAGACAAGAATAAATACATCATGCAACAGAAAAGAATCAAGTACTAATTGATTGATGTAAGTACTGAAGGAGTTCAGAAGAGAGATATTAGTGAGGACTAAGTCAAAAAAGGCTTTACACGGATCCTGAGATGGCTCTGGGAAGATGAAACAGATCTGAATTGGGGGGAGGAGGGACAGGTTGGAGAGGGTGGGAAGGAAGTCAGGTAATGGCATTCCACTTAAGAAAACTAGTCTACACTGCAATACTCACAAAGATTAACAAAAGAGGGGGGGAAACCAGTTGATTTTCAGATCCAAGCTACAAAGACATGGAAAAAATAAATTCAAGAAACTAACAAAATTAACCATTAAATAATATTCCATTGCACGTCCTGACAGCATAGGTCCCATTATTTTGTATATCAGTTTGGAAACATTACAGAAAAGTGACTAAACAGTCCATCTCTTTGCCAGCAGTGTACTCATTATTATGCATTCACAGAGGAAGTCAAAGAAAGAAACAAAGGTCCAAAATAGAACAAAATATTCAAGAAGCATTTTCTGCAACAGCAAAGAACTGGGAAAAAAAAACAAAAACAAAAAAACAAACTGGGTGTCCATCAGCTGGGGACTGATTGAAAAATGATGGCATATGAATGCAATGGAATATTATCCTGTGATAAGAATATAAAGAATTCAGTAAAACATGGGAAGATTAATATGAATTGATGCACAGCAAAATCAACAAAACTAAAAGAATAATATACACAATGACTATAACAGGGTAAACGAAAAGATCATGATCAAGAAGTCTGAGAAACTGGAAAATCAACGAATGTCAGAGACGACAAAGAGATGGACTAGTAGGGCAGAATGTCACATACACTGAAAAGATGTGGTCACTGTATGGGATACTTTTGCTTAATTGTTTTTCAGTGTCACAAAGAAAGGTTGGATCTAAAAAGGAGAAAGGTCCCTAACCCTAGAAATGAATGTGATATAAAGACAAAAGGCATGAACTTGTGTTTTCAAATGAAGCATGGCTTCTAAAATGGAAAGATAGCTTTTGAATAAGTAAAATTGGTTCCTGTGCATCAGCTTGGGAAGCTAACCATTATTTAAATTAGTTTTTTTTTAATGGGAAAATGTATTCTAAGTTATAAACAACCAACTTCTAATTGAAACTCATTTGTAAATTGAAGACTTCCAATATGCTCACACAAATAATGACGTGGGTATTCTAGATTCTGGTGAATTCTTACCCTGTCGTTGTTGACTCGGTACACAGCAGAGCTATCAGTAATAGATGTCTGGGTATTTCTGTAAAGGCCTGTTAAAAGCTGTAAAACAAGGAGATCAGATTAAATTAATCCTCAGGCTTACTGAGCATGAAATTCTTTTGGCCCTCCAAGATGGAAAGCCCAACAAACTGACTAACACAAAAATAAAGTATCAAAATTATTCTTCTTTTCAAATTGTCAGTCCTGCTAGGGGTCACTCAGAATAAGATATTCTTGATTTCCATACCTCTAAAACAACTTGACACAAAACTTTCAGTTCACATTAGAAACAAAATTATATTTCAAAAGAAATTAGTATTAATGACTCGAATTTATTGTTTTTTTCACAAATGCTATTTTTAGTGATTTTTATTTTTAAAAGGAAAGGAAAAGAGACAGAAAGGAAAGATTTTACACTAATTCTGTAAGATTAACTATGAAGTAGCTCATTTCAAAAGAAGCCCAACCATTCTAGTATGCCAATAACAGCCATCATGAGAACAGCCTTACCAACTTTCACTGAAGGGTTTGCCATCCTTACGGCTTTTAACAATATTACTACAATATTTCTGCTCCTTCTGCCTCTTTATCTGTCCTGGCATCTTCAATAATTGGGTGAAAGGAGCAAAGGGGAAGTGCTAAGCATATTTTCTAATGTCCAGTAAGTTCAATACCATTCAGTCAGTTGTGGTAACCACATGAAAACTGAAGTGGTCAAAAGCTGGCAGCTTACATGCTTTCCAAGATCCCCTTTTCCTACCTAAGAGGGAAGGAAATATCTCCATATTTATCAGAATTAATTTACAAAATTCCACAAAGCAACCAATGGCTCAGACAAATATTGCATATTTCTCACATTTGTCCCATAACTTTATTACATAACAGTAAAAACATTTACCCTGACAAAAAGGAGCGTCTTCCCCGAGTCACAAAGTCCCACCAGAAGTACAGCCCTTCGACTGCTCTTTCTGCTTCGAATGAGTTTCCAGCATACTGTGAAAGTGAAGAGAAAATAGTTAAGATAATAGAACCACACAATTTCAGGGACAGAGAATACTTTAGAGATCACCTGGTCCAAATGTCTCATTTTACAAAAAACAAAGCCAAGACTAGAACAAGTCTTCTCACTCCTTATCTATATTCACTATACTAGGTAGCTTGGTGAGGAACTGAAGTCAGAAAAGCCTGAGTCTGAATCCTGCTTCAGACACTCATAAGCTGTGTGACCCTGGGAAAGTCACTTAACTTCTCTGTACCTCAGTTTCCTCATCTGTAAAACAGGGATAAAAACAGTAGCTACCCCATAGGATGGTTGTGAGGATCAAATGAGTCAACATCTGTAAAGCACTTTGCACATATTAAAACACTATATAAATGCTATTATTATTAATTAATTAATTTATATATAAATTATTGCTAATGAACAACAGGAGGGAAAGTTTTTTGGAGCAGTGGGGGAAATTATACTAAAACAGGCCCGCACAACCTGCGGCCCCGGCCGCTAGCAGCATGCCAAAGGATTTCGGGCAGCCCTCGAAAAATGTAAATGATGTTACATATTTTTCTGGCTGCCCAAAATCCTTTGGTGTGCCATGAGGGGCCCAAGGGCCTCAGGCCAAAGGTTCTGCAGGTCTGTACTAAAAGGTATCTTAATCAACTACATTTATTATGAAACCAATATGAAGCAATACCTAACATAAAATTAAATGCAAAATACAAACTAAGTAAATGTAAAGTAATTTGGGAGTGGGGAAGCACCATCAGCTGGGAGATCAGGAAAGGTCTCAGATGGCACTTAAGCTGGGCTCTGATGGGAGCTAAGAGTTCTAAGGGGCAGGGGATGGGGCAAGGAGTGCATCCCAGGCACTGCAATGGTACAAGCATGGATGCATACAAAGAAAAGCAGGCAAGTCAGTAGGCTAGAATACAGAGTATGGGAGAGATTCACTAATTTATATGCAATCCTCTTTTTGTGTTCTATTTTGTATACAGAAATGCTCTTTTTTTTGTTATTTATAAGGTTCAGAATGAAAAAACATGCTTTTAAAATTCCAAACCTAACAAAACCTCTTCAAAATATATACACATATCCATGTACATATGTGTGTGTTATACGCACACACACACACACACACAAAAACACACACATCTATGTTTATATCTATAAAGAAATGGAAAACAGTACTGGACATGGATGAAGTTCACCAAGTTCTGGATTTGAATCTTACCTCTGACATGCAAGTCATTTAATTAGAAGAATCGGGTACGTCAACTGACAAAAAAAAAATTTGCCTGGTCCTGTGGGGCAGTCTTAAATTCTGGTCCTGAGTCTCAGTTTCTTCATGTCATACCCACTAACTGTGGATGTCCCCCAAGGCTCCATCTAAGGCCCTCTTCCCTTTTCTCTCGATACTCTCTGACTTGGTGATCTTATCAGCTTCCATGGGATTAATTATTATTTACATGCTGATGATTCCTAAACCAATTTATCCAGTTCTAAACTCACTGCAGAGTTCCAGTTGCATTTGGAGATTTCAAATTAAATGTCCTGGAGACAACTCAAACTGAACATGTCCAAAAGAGAATTCATTATCTTTCTCCCTCAAACATACACCCCTTTTCCAAAATTCCCTATTACTGTCAAGAGCACAACCATCCTTCCAGCCACCCAGGCACAAAACTTCTCTCATTCTCATTCCCCTGCCCCCCACATATTTCTGCCTTCACAACATCTCTTGCCTAAATCCTTTTCCTTCCATTCATAAAACCACCACCGTAATTTAGGACCTCACAACCTCTTGTCTACTAAAGGGTCTACCCCTGCCTCAAGTTTATCCCCACTTCAATCTGTCCTGCATATGGCTGTCAAAATGATTTTACTAAAAGATTAATGTCTGACCATATCACTCAAAACACTCCGATAGCTCCCTATTTCCTATATAATCAAATATAGGTTCCTCTATTTAGCATTCAAATCTCTTCGCACCCTGGCCTATTCCTATCTTTTCTGTCTTTTAATACATTACTCCTCTCTACAGGCTCCCTACAGACAGAGGGAGGAGTAGAAGGGGCTAGATTGTCTTCAGGAAACTACAAGGCCCCCTTCCGTGTCACCACATTTCTTGGGCAACAAAAGTCACTATTTAATAATCTGCAATACCAATATTGCACTATTCTGCCCTATCTGCAACAGGTCATTATACAGAACAGTCTCTTAAGAACTGATAAAAAAAAAACCTGTCAGATCGAGGGCAATGGAGAGCTCTGCACATCGAAGGCGTGAACAGGAGGGCAGTGAAGAGGCACATGTTGGTGTGCACAGGAGAGCAATGGAGAATAGGTTGGGTGTGAACAGAAGGGCAATGGTTAAGTTGGGTAGGGGTGTGAGCAGGAGGGCACGTGGCAGGTGTGAGCAGGCTTCAACACGTATCAAACGAGGATCTTCAAAGAACAGGAGGCAAGGATGGCAGCACAGAAATATTAGGCGCTGTCATATAGCAAATGGGGGTGGCTAGGAAACAACTGGGGAAATGCCCATTGGCACCCCCTTCGTGGCAGGGACGGTGGGAAGGCTCCCTAGCTCGCTGGACTGAGCTCCTGCTACGTGGCCTGGAGTGGCACTAGAGGGACGGAGATCTGCTTCAGGGGAGGGACTATCCTGATGGGTGGGATCAGAGATACTCCAGAGTATCCAAACCCACCTCCCTGCCCGAGGGGGGATGGGGCAGGGGACTAGACTAGCTGACTATTTTGGAGAAGGTGTATAGGGGCCAGAAAGGGAGGAGTTCCTGGGTTACTCAAAAAATGACAGACATGGGGAATGTACCACGTGGATGCGGGGCCCACCAAGAGAGGAATTCGGGGGCTCCCATTACCAGGCGGCCCCCCCAACATTGCCCAGCTCGCACCCTGGACCCCTCAACAATCCAAACGGCCTGCCAGGCCGCTGTGGCCTCCTCTCACCCAGAGTCAGCAGAACGACAAGCAGCGCCACCAGCACGGAAAGCATCGCGGGGTCCCTTTGCTGCAGCTCCTGGCGCAGAGAGTCCAGATGCGGCTGGAAGGTACCACCTCCGACCCCCATCTGCTCAGCTTCCGCCGAGACCATCATTGAGCAGTGCCGCCGCAACAGAAAGACGTGGCCCTCCAAGCTCTACGCCGTCCTAGGGGAGCGAAGCATCATGGGAATCGTAGTCTTCCGGGCCTCCTGCCCCAAGCCGGTAGTGGACAAGTGTATTTCCTGAAAAGAGCCTTCTGGGAGTTGTAGTTTTGTTAATCTCTCCTTCTCCCCCATATACCTCCCTATACCCCATACCGGACTTTGGCCCCAAGCCTTGTTATGTTAAAGTCGAGGAGAGGTCCGCAATAGAGAACTGAGTTCTGGTCCCTGCTGCCAAAATCTGAAATTATAAAAAAGTGGTTCCCAAATATTGTACCATCGGTCCCCCAAGTAACAATTCTGCACAGCCGATAAAAATTTAACTCTTAAACTCCAGAGCTTTCTCTGACCTTCTTACAAACTGCAGTATCTCCAAGTCTCTCTACCTTGCCAATTTTGAGCCCATGCACAAATATAAGATAATTAGGATTTGTAAAAGTTTATGTTAAATGCCTACCTGTGGGTAGCCATGGTTTCAGTTTTCTGCAACATGAAAGATAAGGTCTCTTGGCCATGAGAATATCATACTTTTTCTAAGCTAAAAGAGACCCTAGAAGTGAGTCAAGATATGTAAAGCACTTTGCAAATCTTAAAGCTGTATATAAATGGTACTGATGAGGAGGAGGGCAATGATGTTGATGATGGTTGTGGTGATGGTGGTGATGATGATGATGATAACTCATTTTATATGTGAAGAAACCAAGATCCCAAGGTTAATTGATTTTTTGTTGTTCAGTCATTTTTCAATTGTGCCCAACTCTTCATGACTTCATCTGGTGTTTTCTTGGCAAAGATATTGGAGTGGTTTGCCATTTCCTTCTGTAGCTCATTTTACAGATGAAGAAACTGAGGCAAACAGGGTTGAGTGACTTGCCTAGGGTCACACAGCTGGTAAATGTCTGAGGCTAGATTTAAACTCAGGAAGATGAGTCCTGACTCCAGGCCCAATGTTCTGGCAAGCTGCCCTTTAAGCACCCAAATTGTGATGTCACCCAAATAGATAAGGTATTTATACTGTCTATTTTTACCATCTAAGGCTGGTAAAAACAAGACAAAAAGGTATAACGGCATTGAAATAAAGAGATGTTAAATATCTAAGACAAAACAAAATATCCACTTTCATAGCCATGAGGCTCAGTCACTCATGTTTTGTTAGGGAGATACTTTTAAAATTTGGACTTCCCATACATCACAACATTTTACCTTTCAATGATAAGGAGACACTGAAGTGGTTAGACAAAACCAGTTTTTGGACAGACAATGGATTCATCAATTTCAAATCCACCCTTGTGATTAACTGGAGGGAGTAGTCTTAGCAGTTTCAAAACTGTCATTCACAATGGAGAGGGAGAGATCAGCAAGTTATAAAGGAAAGCAGATATGTAGCATAGATCCATAGCAACTACCATATTTATTTTTTAAAAAGCATGTATGTTCTCAAAGTTTGTTGGTTTTTTCTGTTTTTGTACATGTATGCATATTGTCCCAATAACCACCAGCTTTTTACTCTGCCCTCCTCAGGACACCACCCATCTAGATTTTACCCATATGCTGCCATGAGAAATATTGAGATAGAATGCTTGCCCACAGATTCTGTAGCTACCCCTGTGTAAATCAGAGAGCCCTCTGCCACATCTCTTCCAGGTCCATCCACAGTCCCAAAAGTCAACTCTAAAACTGCTTATACGCTTTTTTCTTGATCCCTTTTCAGGTCTTTCCAACCCTATTAAGTCGTAAGGGTTGTTTTCTTCCTTTTCACCTACACTGAGTTTCTAGCATTATTTTTATTTTATTTTGGCTAGGTAATGGGGTTAAGTGACTTGCCCAGGGTCACACAGCTAGTGTTAAATGTGTGAGGCCGCATTTGAACTCATGTTCTCCTGAATCCAGGGCCGGTGCTCTTTCTACTGCACTACCTAGCCGCCCCTCTAGCATAATTTTAAACATAGCTTCACAAATTATTTTCTCTGATGTAGTATCAGAAAACCACCAAGAACAGTGAATGCCCTGAAAGGTTACTAACCCTAAGAAAAGATTTAGGAAGAATAAAAACTTATATCCCCTTGGCCCTGGAAGAAAAATCAGTCAGGTCAAGTAATGATTAATGAAGATGAAATTGTGTCAAGGAGAGGTACTCATGTATATCTAAGGTATTTATATTTATAAAATTATCCTTTTATTGTATTTCCACTATCCTCTGCCCTAGCCAGTCTTTTTTGGTTTTGTCCAGACTGATTGAATTAGCATGAGGAACAATTCTAGGTGAGGAAACAGCTTTGCAACTTGTAGTCTTTGAGAGCTGCCCTACTGCATTGAGAGGTTAAGTGACTTGCCCAGTGGCATATGGCCAAACTGGCAAGAGGTAGACTTGAACCCTCATCCTGACTCTACTGTTAACAGGATTTTACTGAGCCAGTCTCTACCCTGAGAATGATGAAACAGCAGTCCAGAGACAAAGTGCCAGTAATCAGGCAGCCATTTAATTAGTTTCATTATAAGGAACAGATTTGCAAATCAGGAATTCTCATCAGAATTCCACCTTACTGAAGTGAAGACAGAGACACAAATGGGAAGGAGGGGGAAAGGTAGATTACAACGTTTTCCCAGGCTTGGGCAGTGCCAATTCTGGAGACCTGTGGGAGCAGTATTGCTGGAGTCCTTGGGGGTCATTACGTGGTGGGTCACAGGAGCAGAGTTCTGTGATGGGAGCAGGTTCTACATTCTTTGATTCCCTTCACTTCAGGTACGAAGGCAGAAGGATGCCAGTGATTGTGAGCCTTGTCAAAGGTTTGATTTATCATTTCAAGCTGCAGTGTAAGTCTGATTCACAAGAGAGGCAATTCTGAAAAATCTATTAGTATATTCATTACACATTTATCAATTATTTTAAAAATCATAATTCCCTTCACACTACTATGCTATATGCCTCTCATTTAGATGACTCATACTGTTAAGAAAGTATCTTAAAAGTAGCATTTAGCTGGATCATGTACTATATTCCATCTTTCAGCCCTCTTTACCTGTGGACAGTATAATCCGTGGGTATCTTTGCTTGTATTGATACTTAATTTTCTTAACTATGTAGTCATATCAACCTTGCCATAGGAACGGATTTCATACCTTTGATGTCTCTCCCACTCCCTACCCCCTCAATCAGCATGATGTCTACTTAAACTTGGAACTTTTGACAAAAATGGGCACTCTGAAGCCAGTCTTCAAATAGAAGACATGCTGGCTAGGTTACACTTCTCAAGTAATGTTACGCTATAATTCAAGATACCCTGTTGAAGATGTTGCAGAAGTTGGATTGCTTAGATAAACTTTGATGTCCCTTCCAACTCTGAGATTCTGTGAATCAAGGAATTTCATCAAAGACTACATCCCTGAGCTTAATAAATTTAGGTTTCTCTACAGTATCCACTGTAACAAAATTTGAGGATGGGGGAACACTGCTCTTTGAACCCTTGTGATTCTCCCATTATCTCTTGCTGCTATCAGAAGGCACAAATGTGTCCTTCCTCTCTGAATTCCATTCCTCCGTTGCTGCAGTTATTTCCAGGGAGGATGATAGGGTCATAGATGACACAGAATGGATCTTGAAGATCAATGGCAGAGCAGCCCTAGGACTCAGGAGGCAAATCCTACTTCTGCCACATGCTAGCTATGTGACCTTGGGCAAGTCTCTTAACCTCTAGATGTCCCTCTCTGAAGAAAATGACAAATGCTATCCATCTCCTCATAGAGGTGGACTAAATGTGAAGAAAGAGACATTTTTGGACATGACCACCATGGGAATTTATTTTACTTGACCACCACATATTTGTTACAAGGGTCTTTCTTTTTCTTTTCCAGTGGGTTGGAGAAGGTGGGAGGAAAAAAAATAATGCTTGATAATTGAAAAAACTATAACATTTAATTTAAGGCAATAAGTTGCAGGGAAGTTGCCAGTGCATGTAAGTAGAAGCGCCTCACTGGGAGCTTCCTACATGCTCAATGAAATCACAGGTCTAGTTTAAAAAAATAAACCTTACATCTCAGAAACAGAAGTGACTTCAGAAGCCATCTAGCCGATCTCCTAATTTTAGAGATGAGAAAAGAGGCCTCTACAAGATTTAAGTGACTTGCTCAAGGTCACACAGGTAGTAGGCAACAAATGGAGAAACTGACTGCAGTGCCCTTGACTCCAAATCTGGGACTCTTTCCCATACTGCTTTCTCCCAAATGAGTCTGTAAAATTCTGTCACACAAATCCCCCATCTAAAAACCCATTACCAAATAAATGAAGATACACTTTATTGCAGATAGTGAGATTTGGGGAAAATGGGATATGTATTTGTAAACTGAAGAATATTAAAGAGTTGGTCAAGATTTTAGTTTTTGTTATAGTAGAAAAAGTTAAGATTAGATGTTAGGATTATCTGTGTCATAGTTCCCATTGTACTACCATCTAATTGTATGGCTTTGAGCAAGTTACAAATCTTGTTACTTGAGGATCAGAGCTCTAGGGCTGGGGCTTCAGAGGCGATGCTCCAAAGTCCTCATTTTAAAGTTAAGGAAACTTTAAAGCCCAGTGAGGTTAAATTAAGTGGGAGAGGTGACTTGCCAAGGTCAGCTACAGTCTTTTTCCCTGAGGTAAAAATAGGAAAACAACACAGGAACCGAGCAACTAAGAGACAAAGGCAGAAAAAGGCACAGAGATTTCCTATCCCCTTTCAACATTCAATACACACACAACACACAAAAAGGTACCAACAGAATCAGAATCACTTTATTCATAGCCAGGGTTTGCTCTAGTCCTCATCATCAGACAAAATAATCTTGCTGGGGTCAAAATAATTGGAAGTCATAAGGGGAAGGCCCTGGGCCTCCCTAAGCTTCACCTGTAGCTCTGCCTCCCTCCGGGCCCATTCCTTCAACCTGTGGAAGAGGACAAAGAGAGGAAAGAGAGAGTGAGGTCCAACAGAAGTCATCACTTGTACTAGCACCAGCCTGCAAAGGCAGAAAGCTGATCAAGTCAGCTTTTTTATCCTTAACTATGTCAAGCAGCAGGTGATTGATTCCCCCAATCCATACTCACTTGTAGTCGGGGAGATAGGCCAAAAAGGTAAAGCCTAGGACCATGGTAAGAGAGACGCCAACGAAGAACACGGCTCTCATGTTCCAGAGGTCTACCAAGGGGTCTTCATGGTAGCCGTGGAAGTCGGGGTTCTGCAGAGGATTGACAGAAGGCACATATGCTTCTCTAAGGATCACGCTGTGACAACTGACACAGTGCATTTTTTTTTTACCCATAAGGCAAAGAAAACAGAGACAGGATGAAAATTTTTATTTGAAAGCAAAATTGCATCTGCTTGTAATTATACAGACTTAAAAAATACATTTGCCAGATAGAAATTATAGTACATGGTAATAAAATCACAAAAATTGTTCTTAAAATTCTTGCATCAATTGACACGACTGGTCCTTGTAATTTTAAGAAATTAGGACCCAGGGAGGAGGAGGGACGTCAGGGGCTGGACAGACAGGAGGGCAGCGGCCACGGGCATAGGCCTGGGGGAGGGGTGGTGGAAAGGGGGCTAAGACAGGGCTGGAGCGCCCAGGCCTCCTTAGTCCCGCCCCCTCGGCCTCTTCCGGCTCCCTGGCTCCGCCCCCTCACCTTCTCATAGAAGTTGATGTCTTCTTCCTCTGGGTCTTCTGGCCAGACGACCTCCGGGGTTCGGGGTCGTTTCCGCACCGCCGGCGGGGCGACCACGGCTCCGGTCGTGCTGGAGCTCCAGCGGAGAGAAGCGGCAGCCGGCACCTTCCGTGCAGCTCCGAGCAACCGCCGAGAGCAAATCCCCAACAACGCCACCGTTGCCATTGCGGCCGCCACAGCTCCGGAACTGCTGGCTTGGGAGGGGGGAGGGATGTCGGACAGGAACAGCCTGCTGCGCAGGCGCAGGCCGCGGCAGCTACCGCTCTACCGGAACCCCCTGTCCCCGCCCTCCTCAGGCTCATGTGACCGAGCATTTCAGGGACGGGAGCCGCAGGCACGTGACCGGAAAGTGGGACCTAGGAGAAATAATCACCTGTTTCTACCAGTCCTTGCGAGAGGCCCTTGTTGGGCCGGGACGTCTTCCTGGGGTCTCTGAGAGCGCTACTCTGGAGCTGTGATGGTGGGGCCTGGGCGCCTGGAGTTTCCTTGCCTCCTGAGTCCTGGGCCCTGACACTTCCCAGCTGGTTGGAAGTGGCACAGGGGTTCCCTATAGTCTGGGGAGTCTGATTAGCAGCAGTCTCATTCATTGCAAGCACACCCTGATCAGCACTGCACAGCCCCCGAGCAGCAGAATGAGGTAGCCGACCCCACCAAGATGCATTAGTGAGCGACAACTGTGTGCCAACCAGACACCAAGGATGATCCTTTCCTTACACACACACACACACACACACACATTTTTTGTTGTTCAGTGGTTTCAGTTATGTCTGACTTTCATGACTCCAGTTTACTTGCTATTTCCTTCTCCAGCTTATTTTATGGATAAGGAAACTGAGGCAAACAGGGTTAAATGACTTGCCTAGGCTCACACAGCTAGTAGGTGTCTGAGGCAGGATTTGAACGGGGAAGAGATGAGTCTTCTGGTACTCCAGGCCCAGTGCTTTTTATGGGATATGAGCCCAAGCTGAGACCTTTGCCCCTTCCCCAAAAAGAATTTGGGTCCCATTTGTCTAAGGGATTCTCCTTGAATTCTCCCACTTGATTAAGGAGGTCCCTAGCCTTCCCATGAGGCTATAGTTCCATCAACTGGCCTTTTGTTATTGCCTAGACCCAATCTCCCAATTCTGTTACCCTAAACCTAGCCTAGCCCTCCATTGTCTTACCTCCCAATAGCCCCTGGCTACTTCCCCACTCTTGTTGCTATCTACACCCCATTCTCCACTTCCCAGTCATTCCCATCCTAGATACCTCCCACAATCTTTCTACAGATAAGGTCCATCTTATCTCCATTAAGGTGCTCAGATTTTTTGCAGTGTAGCCAATAGCTCACAGGTGCTCAGATTCCTTAAGAGTCTGGCTAATGTGGTGGATCTTTAATAAACCTTGTCTTTGGCTGAAAGAAGGCTTAGGTCAAATTCTTTCTGGCAGGACCCGCATATTGTGATCTTGGGGTTCCAGCACCCCAAAATCTCTAGACCTCATCAAGTGTATCTCTCCCAAGAATCTCTGGTGCCCTTTGCTCCTTAAAAGCACACACAGTTACCTCAGCATTCTCTCTGCCAAAAAAGATGTGGTTCCCACAGTAAGTCCAACAGCATGCAGAATGTGCCAGGTTTAGTTGGAAGCCCAAATGATGTGGTTTGGGGTTGCTGGGAATCCCAGAATATCAGGGTACAGGGCAGCATCTGCCTGGGATGAATTCACAAACTCAAACTGTCTTCCAGTCAAGTGGCAAAATTTATTGTAAACCAATAAAGTGGGCAAGGTTCTTAGGGAACCTGCAAACTAATGAGGATGAGGATGAGGCTGATGCTTGTATACAAAAAGGACAGTGAAAGGATCTCTGTGGGGTTAAAGAGTGGTAAATAGTCTGGGGTGGGCCAGATGCTTTGGGTGGAGGCACCAGTGATCTGGGCTGTTGAAAAGTATGGGAAAATACAGAGACTGGGTTGCTTCCAGAGTTACAGTCTTTTCCTTTTAGGTGTCTGGGTCCCATCACTCCATCACATATATAGTGAGTAATTTTGTGGAGAAAGTTCTTTGTAAACTTTCAAGGTACACGTAGTGCTGTACCAAATTATTATCATTAGTTTTCCTTGAAAACTGAGAAAAATAAGGAAAGTGTTAAGAGCACAAGTTGTTTAAAATCCTTCTTGATTGGAGAGGACCTCTAATGCGCTTTGACTTAAATCTAGCAAGTTACTCTTTCCAAGAAAGAGAGAAAATATTTACCCAGGGTTCTCTAGGCAAATGAGTCCAAAGGAGCTAAAGTTAGCTAAGTGGCTGGGTTAGATGGAGGAAAGAATCTGTCATCTCCTTTCTTTTTGAAAGGAAAGCCATTCCTCCAGAGGGGAAGCAGTTGACTAGTTTGCTATTGTTCTTTGTTCTCAAAGAGGACCAAAATGACATCACTATGTTCTAGTCAAGTTACAATTTGTCCAACTGTGGCTGATCAGACCAATATGAGTTCAGTGTTTCTTTCGAGCTTCTTCAGTTCTGCTTTGCTCATAGCAGACAGCACCTTCTCTGATGTGGGCACGCCATGCTGAGTGGTCCCATGACAGTGTCTCCCATGTTACACAGTTCCAGAGTTCTTAAGACAGATCGTGAAAGTATTGCTTTTTCTGACCATCATGTGAATGCTTGCCTTGTGTGAGCTCTCCATGAAATAGTCTTTTTTGGCAAGTGTACAATTCAGTTTCCTGGCCTGGCTCTGGTATACTATCCAGGTTTCACAGGCATACAACAATGAGGTCAGCTCAATGGCTCTGTAGACCTTCAGTTTAGTAGTCTAATACTTCTTCTCTCCCACACTTTCCTTTGGAGCCTCCCAAAACACTGAGGTAGCTCTGGCAATCAATGTTATTGTCAATATGTACATCCCTGGAAAGTACACTGCCAAGGTAAGTGAACATATCCACAGTATTCAAAACTTCTCCATTTGCCGTAACCAGTGGTTCCATGTATGGATGGTGTGGTGTGTTGGTGGCTGATGGAACACCTGTGTTTTCTTGTTGTTAATTGTTAGGCCATAATTAGCACAAGCAGTAGACTACTAATCCATACTTTGTTGCATCTCAGCTGCAGAGGCTGCACTGAGTGCACAATCATCTGCAAACAGAAAATCCTGCACCAACACTCCCTCCACTTTGGTCTTGGCTTGTAGTCTTTTCAAGTTGAGGAATTTACCATCATTGAGGTAGTTGACCTTGATGCCATGTTCATCCTCATTGAAAGCATTTGACAACATGGCTGAAAACATCATGCTAAAAAGTATGGGAGCAAGTGCACAGCCTTGTTTCACTCCACTGGTGACTGGGAAAGCACAAGAGCATCGTCCATTATACAGAACCCAGGCAAGCATGCAGTCATGAAATTGACCTACAATGCTGATGAACTTCTTTGGGCAACCAAATTTTGACATAATTTTCCATAAGCCTTCATGACTGACAGAATCAAAGGCCTTGGTCAGATCTACAAACTGTGTACAGACCTCTGTTCTGCTCCTAGCATTTCTCCTGGAGTTGCCAGGTAGCAAACACCACATCAACTATTCCCTGGGTCTTTCTGAAGCCACACTGACTCTCAGGTAGATGACCATCTTCCAGGTTAAGAATCAGCCTATTAAGGAGGACTCTGGCAAGAATCTTGCCAGCCGAGACTAAGAGAGAGACCCCCCACCCCGTGATTGTCACAGGACAATCTATTTCCTTTACCTTTATAGAGATGAACAATGGAGGCATCGTTGAACTTGTGGGTGATAACCTCCTCTTACCATATAACTTGGAAAATTTCAGTCAGCTTTTGTATGAGCAATGGACCTCCACCTTATAAATCTCAGCTAGAATAGAATCAGCACCAGGTGCTTTGCCACACAAAAGGAACCTAGTGGCATTCAAAATCTCTTCTTCAATTGGAATTTCAGCAAGGGAGGGATTGACTTCAACCTGAGGTAAATGGTCAATAGCTAAAGAGAAAGTCATTCTCTGAAAATTGAATTTTCTTCTCAATCATAGTCAGACCTTACCCAACCTTATAAGGAATCTTATCTAAGGTGAATTCCATTGAGTCCCACCCAAGCAAGTTTGGGTGAAAGTAGATCCCTTGCCTAGATTGCCCAAGGCTTGGGGGTGGTCTGGATGTAGAGAGTGTGACATAATGTCACTCTCTTAGCCCCTCATTAGAGTGAGCCAGCTTCTTGTTGTAATATTCATTCTCTCATTAATTGTTAGCCAATCAGAGTCAATTGCCACTCCCCGGAACATCTATTTTGGCTCCTCAGAGACAAAGCTGCATTCATGACAGATCCAGAAAATCCTACCCTTTTCTGGAATTACAGGCTTTGTCCCAAGTCCAGATGAGTTAAGGAAGAACCCTGCTTTATACTTAGGAGGGAAACAGAAATCAGAGCTTTTACTCAAATACAGCAACAGATCCCAGTTCTGTGTATCACCACTTACTCCTTCCACATAAGCTCTATCCATGTATAAGCAAAATTGAATATGATAACTATTCCTACATTTTGTTAATGTGAGCCTCAAAGGATTTACCACATTTATATAGTGATCTACCATAAAAAGTTTTCTCAGAATCATCCTGAAAAATAAGTGGCATAAGTATTATTACCATCACTTTACAGATAGAGAAACTGCATTGTTAGAAAAGTTTCCGCACTGGGAGTTCTTTATACTAATGGAGTTATAGGTTTGGACCAAAGTCCAAACTACTGAAGTCCACCTACACTATTATTGTCAAACTTAAACAGAAATGGATTCAGAAAACTACAAATTAGCATTACCTATGTTTAATTATATTTTTATTTCTCTTACTAAACATTCCCAAGTTATGTTTTAGTCAAATTTGGGCAACAATTGAGAGTTTTGCTAGGCCATTTGGCCTGCAGTGCGAGTTTCATACCCCTGAACACCCTCTCTCAGGAACCTCTTACTTAAGTTTCACTTAGGTGACTTGATTGGGGTACTGTAGCTTCCACTGTAAGGGATGAGGAAGAACAAAATCTGAAAAATTCTGAGGAAGGACCCAACTGTTCAAGAATGAGTAACTTAGTTTGGGGATTACAGTATTGAAGAATGTGGCCTAGATGAGGGAAAACTTAGAAATGGAAGAACTCTATAAAAGAAGAGACACACACAATCAATGACATTCATCTGCTTTATTTCTTGCTCAAGTGACAGCAGTAAGCATGAAGGTTCATGAAGTTAGCCCAGACTTCTCTCTGGGATCATCTGTTTACAAGAAGTGAGAAAAGAGGCTTCTATCACATTTGCAGTGGGGCATTTTGGATTGCAAGCCCATCTGGAAAATTGTCCCACTTTCCTAGGTTTCTAAATATTAATGAACTTGCAGATAGGCAGGAGGTCTGTGGAGCAGAAATGGGCAGAACATTATTCATATCAGACTATTTGAATGTCTTAGAAGTCTCCAAAGAATTAAAGTCATGAGTCACTCACAGAATAATGGATAGGTGCTTGGTGGTCACTAGTAGGCTGCAACATATTACATTTTATGTATAAATATATACAACAATTCAGACTTGTGCAGAAGAGTGAATGAAAAAGCCTTTATTAAGCACTTTATTAAGCACTAAGCATTGGAGAAATGGAAAATAGAGACAGTTCCTGCTTTCGAGGAGCTCATAATTAAATAGAGAAGGCAACACATAAGCAACATGAAGGATGTCATCATAGAAATATATAACCAGAAAAGGAGATGAACCTGTCATACAATGAGAACAAGAGATAACTCATGGACAGTTTCGTTGGTATTCATAAAATGTCAGGAGAAGCAGCCCCAGCATGGTGGGCAGACTCCAAGTTGAAGATTTATAGTTAAGAGTGGTGCAAGAAGGGCAGCTAGGTGGTGCAGGTGGGTAAAGCACTGGGCTTGGAGTCAGGAAGACTCCTCTTCCTGAGTTTAAACCCAGTCTCTGACACTTACTAGCTGTGTGACCCTAGGCAAGTCATTTAACCCTGTTTGCCTCAGTTCCTCATCTGTAAAATGAGCTGGAGAAGGAAATGGCAAAGCACTCCAATATCTTTGCCAAAAAAACCACAAATGGGGTCATGAAGAGTCAGACAAGACTGAAATGACTGAACAACAATACAAAAATAGAGGTGCAAGATAATGTGTTAATGTTTATATATACAAGGGACCAATGTAAATCTCCATCTGCCTAATGCCTTTTTGTCTCCACAGAGACAAGGTGATGATGGGTTGCAATCTAGACTACTGCTGGGATACTCACATCAATGAAATTATGGATGCATCAGAGAATAGAAGCCCCTCTTGCCATTAGTTTCTGTATCACCTAGTTTAGCATTTTACTGCGTACTATCTTTTATACCCCTTAATTGTTTCATGTATATGGTCTTCTCTACTAGTCCACAAACTTGTTTTAGACAAAAGCCATGTCTTACACAGAGAGCCCTCAGCTTGCAAAGAGGCTGTGCCCAGAAGTTCACAAGTCAGCTGTTTAGAATTCAGAATGCTTTTAGTCAGTCAACGAGCATTTATTAAGCACTTTTTGCATGCCAGGTACTGTGCTACGTGCTGGGGATATAAAGAAAGACAAAAGATAGCCCCTGCCCTCCAGAAGTGTAGTTGGGGTGATAAGATGCAAAACAACTTTGTATAACTAGGCTATATACAGTATAAATTGGAGGTAATCAACTAAGAGAAAGCACTAGAATTTACTCAAAGAAGTCATGTTTTACTGATGACTGATAACTTTGGAGGCCAGCCTAAATAACCTTCAGTGCTCCTGAAGCATATTTCTGTTGTATTTAACATTTTGTGGAACCATGAAACAGTGGTTCTAAAGGAAGGTATAATCTGAGTTCCAAATTAAAATATCAAGAATATTTTCCTCCTTCAGTGGCATCTGAGACTCTCCCTTCTCCCCTGTCCCTCTCTTGCTGGCCAGTTGTACTATGATTCTTCCAGCTCCAAGTCACGGGTATTGGCTTTTTTAGCTTGGGGTAGGGTTAGGTTTGGCTTAGTACACGTGTAGAAGAGGAGTGGGGGGGGGGTGTGGGAGGGTGTTTTGGGAGTAAGTTATCGGCTTAAGTATCTCATATCAAGATAAAATCTAGGGTACCCTCCCATCCAGTTAAAACTGGGAATGCTTCTGAGCTAACACATCCTTTCCTCTGGGGTCCCTTGGAATTGGTTTCCCTACTTTCCTTTCAATTGTCAACACTTGCTGCTTCCAAATCAAGATTTCTCTTCTTATCTTACTATTAATAACACATGAATACACAGCCCTTGTGAAGTTTCCTAAGGGTTATTTTCTTCCCTTTTGGTGGTAGTGATAGAGAAAAGAAAGTGAAGAAAAAGGCTCTAGCTTAAGTCCCTCTCCTCTTTTTCCACTTCATTATCAGGGAAAGAATCCTGCAGAAGCAATAATGATCTCTACATAATGTTCTAAAATAAGTTATTTACATTTCAGAGGAAAAACACTCTGAAATCCACATTTCAGGCTTTCTCTCGTTTTCTCATGGGAGCTGGAAGTGTGGAGGTCTTGGGCAAAGAACAGAATGAATCACCTGCATTAGGGTATGAGGAAATAAGTGTGGGAATGAGCTGACAACAAAGCCTGTGAAGTAGATATAGGAATTTGCAGCAGGAGTGGGGAATGAATAAAAGAGACCCATCCTTAGAGCTGGGGCATTATAACCCACTTCTCTCTCCTATCCTCCTCTTCCTCTATAGCGGTCCTGCCAGTACAAATCCAACTAAAGCATGACCCTGGGGTGGATTGAGGAGCGAGGGGTCAGTAGCAAACTGAAGAATAAGCAAAGGACATGAGGAGGGCAATTCCTGTCATCAGCTATTCCTCAAATAGGTATTTACGTAAATTTCCACGTGTTTGTCTCCACCACACATACTACATTGTTAGGCTCAAAGTAAATCCTCAAAACATGTTTATTTTACTTAATGACATCTGTGTTGCTTCAGTATCCATTTGTTTGTACATTCCTGATTTCCCCCTTGAGGTTTCATTTGACTTACCTGAAACATCTGAGCATTTTCTCAGAGATTCAATGACCTTGATATGCTCTGGTCCCAAATATTTTTCATAGGTTCTTTTGTCTGGAACATCCGACAAGCATTCAGCGTTGTCTGTAAACAGGAGGTCTTTGTTTTTGGACTGGAACATCTGAAACATGTACCATTCTGTCCCATTGGTCCCAAAAAGGTCCTGTATCAAATGGGCAGACATACAGGTGAGGACCCATGGGATTAGCCTTACGGGAGACTTCCAAGTCAGTGAAGTTTATCTTTTTTTTAAAAATTAATTTATTTTGATTTATCAGCAATCACTTCCATAAGCTTTTGAGTTTAAAATTTTTCTCCCCCTCCCTCCCCACTTCCCTCCCCAAGATAGCATGCAGAGTCTGAAAAGGCTAATGGACTGCTGCACCCTATCTTTCATCTGGTTCAGCTGTTCCAGGGTTTTTCCAGGGGCTGAAGTTTATCTCATCGTAGCCTTTTTTCCTCCTTACCCCTACCTGTTCAATTTCATTTCCCCCTCCCAGATGTGCTGAGTGCTCATGGGATGTTTCTTACTTACAGGTACTCCCTATACAGCCCTTCACCCAGTCAGACCTGCCTGACTTAAATTTTTCTCTTTTTCGTAGCATCTCTCCATCAGAACTTTCCTGTCCTATATCTCCATTTTTTCTCTGACAGCCAAGCCACATGTTTCATTGTGACCACACCTAGAGGCAATTTAACAGGGACCTCCTAGAGACAAAATATTTTCTTCCAAAGGACTGAATGGTAGAATATGATTGAGGCATCCTCATGGGGCAGATAATTTATTTAGTGCAGTGAGGCTTTTTAGAATAATGCTGAAATCATCCCATGTAAACTGTCCCACATGCCTGGAATATACTCACTCCTTATTTCTAGTATATAATATATCTGTCAGATTCAGGCTCAACTGTTTTTATCTCTTTGTTACATGGGATGGCTTGCTGGGCAAGAGAGGAAGAGGAATATACTAAGAAATAAAGATGATGTAATGACTATATATATATATATGTGTGTGTGTGTATATATATATATATATATATATTTTATATATATATATATATTTTATATATATATATATTTATATATATATATTTTATATACATATATTATATATATATGTATATATTTTAAATTTAGAATATATACATATATTATATATATATGTATATATTTTAAATTTAGAATATGGGCTGAAGAAAAAGGAAGAACTACTGACATAAATATCCTTCCCTGGAACCCATTCCTCTCTATCAACCTGTGCCCCAGTAGCATTGAGGGTTCCAGGCCCCTAGGCCTCTCAGAGACTGGAATTGGAGGCCTTCTCTTGGCTTCCATTTTTGAAGGGTTCACCTAGTCCACCTGTGGTACAATATACTGCTTTCCATTAATATCTGAAAAGAATAACCATTCCTCAGTCCTTCATCCCCTTCTTTGTTCCCACTGTTGCTGAGTCTTGGCAGAAGCATGAGTGTGTTGGAGAAAGACTAGGAAGGAAGAAACAGACCTCCTACCCTTGACAAAGCCAAATGCTCCACTTGTACTCCGGATTCCATTCCCTCCCATCTGCCCTGGACGCTTAGTGCCTCTTTCATCTGTGACCTCTCCTTATCCACTGGCTCTTTCTCTGCTATCCACCAACAAGCTCAAGTCTCCCTCATCCTTTAACAACCTCCATATGACTCTGCCATTCCCTCAAAGTACAATCCTAATCTTTTCTCCCTTTCATGGTCAAACTCCTCAGTTTCCTGCTTTTCCCTTAATTCAATTAGTTGCCAACTCATGTAGTATCTACATTCATAACATCTCTTCCAGTTGTCTCCTCTCCATTCACATGAACACCACACTAATTCAGGCCCACATCTACTCTCATCTGGACAATTGAAATAGCTTCTTAATTTGTCTCCCTCTAGTCTGTACTCTCTACCCAGCCAAACTGATATTCCTAAAGCACAAGTCTGACCATGTCACTCTTCTGTTCTAGAAGCTTCAGTAGCTCCCTATTGCTCCTAGGATATGATGCAATTTCCTTTTTGGCACCAAAAGACCTTAACAATCTGTATTTCCAACCTTCCCTTCCAACCTATATTTCTAGACGAATTTTCCATTTTGGACCCCTCCCCACCTCCCCCAACTCTTGCACATACCCTACCTCCCAACCAAAGGAGCCTATTTTTACATACTTGATTTTTTATCTTCCATCTCTATGCTTTGGTACAAGCCTGTGCTTAGAATGTTCTACTTTCAGAATTCGATTAAAAAAAAGTTTATGGAATGAATAAATGCTTGGTACCAGGAATACAAAGACAAAAATGAAAAGGTCTTTGCCCTCAAGGAGCTTTTATTCTACTGGCTGGAAACACTGTATGCACAAAAAAAAATCCTCTGTAATCATAATATTCTGTTCATATGGCTTTCAAAATTATATTCCTAAAGCCCAAGTCCAATCACCTCACTCTCCTGTGCATTAAACACCAGTGGCTCCCTCCTGCCTCTAGGGTCAAATACATACTGTTCCACATTTAAAATCCATTGTAACCTAGCTCCAAGCTATCTTCCCAGCCTTGTTAAATATCACTCTCTTTATATACTCTATGAATCAGCCCCAATGGCCTTTTTAATGTTCCTCACACACAGCACTCTCTTAGCTCTGTGCCTTTGCACAGGTAGCCCTCATCCCTGGAATGCCCTCATTCCTTCTTCCTCACTTCTGCATAGTTTCTTTCAAAGATCAGCTCAAGCACTGCTTTCTAAATGATACATTTCATGATCTCTTCCACTGCTAATGCTTTCTTCTCTCATTTACCTAGTATTTATTTTATATGTGCTTATGTTTACACAGACAGCTAGGTGGTACAGCAGACAGAGCACTGTGTCTGGAGTCAGTAAGATTCATCTTCCTGAGTTCAAATCTGACCTCAGACATTTACTAGCTATGTGACCCTGGGCAAGTCACTTAATCTTGTTTGCCTCAGTTCCTCATGTATAAAATCAGTTGGAAAAGAAAATGGCAAACCACTCCAGTATGTCTGCCAAGAAAACCTCAAATGGGGTCACAAAGAGTTGGACACAGCTGAAAACAACTGAACAACAAAATGTTTATAAATGTTGCTTCCTCTAATGGAATCTAAGCTCATTGAGGGCAGGAACTCTTTAATTTTTGTCTTTGTATCCCCAGTGCCTAGTACACATTAAGCACTTAATAAATGCTTGTTGACTGATTGTCTTTCTTTTTCTCCCTCTGTCTCACTCTTCATAAACATATCCTTTTGATGGGGTATGGGCCCAAGCCAAGACCTTTGCCCGTCACCCCAAAAAGAATTTGGGTCCCATTTGTCTACAGACCCCAGAAAACCCTTAAACTTTCTTTAAACTCATTTATCTGGTCAAGGAAGTTTAGCAGTCTCCTGATTATTAACTGGCCTTATCCCTAGGCCCTATCTCCCTCTAATACCCTAATGAAGCCTACTCTTTGATACCCTAATGAGGCCTAATATATTTCCCATCTTTGATCTTATCCAGACCCCATTCAATCTCTTCTTCCCTGTCTTTCAGTTCTTTGTTACCCTGATGAAGCCTGGCTCTCCTTGTCTATTCCTGGATGATTTCATTCAACCTCCCAGACACTCCCATTGGGATTCCCCCTGAACTCCTCCAGTCACCCCAAATTACTTGGCTATTTACAAGATCCATCTTGGCCGCCATTTAAATGCTGAGATTTCCTCGTGCCCGCTCATCCTTATGGATGTCACTAATGTTCTGACTCCTTAAGAGTCTGGCCTGTATGGTTCATCTCTAATAAAACCTTGTCTTTGGCTGAAAGAAATCTTGGGTCGAATTCATTCGGGAAGGACCCATGTGTCATGATTTTGGGGTCCCAGCACCCCTAGCATCTATATCTCAACACTTTGGCTTCAAACTACAACCTCTATCCCTTCCAACCCTCCTTGCTCTCTCATTCCATCCCTTCTCCTCTGGTGTCACTTTCTTCTCTTCATAGTCTTGACTCTAGCTAATTAATTCAACTGCACACTTCCCTGTACCCCTGATTCACCTCTTTCTAATTCATTCTTCATTCTTGTTCTATCAGTCCTCAATTTTGAGTGACTCCCACCATTTGCCTTTGCTACTTTTGCTCCTGAGTTGAGGAAGACACACAACTCTGCCAACTGGGTCCACTACAAACTGATGTTATCTGACTTTAAATGGATTCTCATTATTGTTATCGTTGTTCAGTCATTTCAGTTGTGTCTGACTCTTTGTGACCCCATTTGATGTTTTCTGGGCAAAAATACAGGAGGGGTTTGCCATTTCCTTCTCCAGATCATTTTTACAGATGAGGAAACTGAGGCAAACAGGGTTAAGTGACTTGCCCAGGGCACACAGCTAGTAAGTATCTGAGGCCAGATTTGAACTTGGGTCTTCCTAACTCTAGGCCTGGTACTTCATCCACTGGCTCCACCAAGCTGGTTCTCATTACCGTACAACAATCCTCTTCTTCTCCCCCTATTAACATCCTCCCTTCAGAGGATATTCCAAGCCCTCAGCTCTTATCTCAGACTTCCATTGATCCCTTCAACCCTTGTCTCTTCGAAGATGTCCTTGTCTACTTTACTGAACAAATTGGTTATCAGTCTTAAATTTCCTACTCTTCCTTATTCCATAGCTCAAAATCCTTCTGCACTTTCACTCATTCTTTCCTCTTTTGCTTCAGTCTCCGAGGAAGGTAGCCTCTTTCATGGGAAAATTTAACTCTTCTACTAATGTTCTTTATCCTTTCTCTTCCTGTCCTCTGGAAGAGTTTGTCCCTTTGATAATTCCCATTCTCTTTCTATGGGGTCCAGTCTCACTTTCCATAGCAGCTCTTTCCCTGCCACCTATGAACATTCTCAGGTTTTCCCAGCCTTAAAAAGAAACAGAAAACCTTCACTCAGCTTTGCCAGTTTCTCAAGCCACCATTTTATATCTCTCCTTTCTTTTACTGCCAAATGCCTCTAGGTCCTAGAACATCATGTATTCACTGAATTTTCTTTCTCACAGCCTAGAGATTTCTCAGCTCCTTGTAACCTGGCTACTAACCACACCTTTGTCTGGCTACCAGTAATCTCTTACTTTTTAAACCCAATTACTATTTGTCATCCTTCTTGATATTTCTGAAGCACTTGACATTGTTGAGGATGCCCTTCTCCTAGTTACTCTCCCTTTCCTTGCCTTCTGTGATATTGATCTTTCCTCATTGCTTTACCTGTCTATTTCTTTTCTGTCACCTTTGTTGGATATCATTCATCTCACTTGGTTATGTCATTTGCCCAGTGGGTTTATTTCTATGCAGGTGGCTTCCAATTCTATATCTTCCATGTTACTCTTACTCCTAAGCTCCAGATTTTCATCAGCAGTTGTCTGGTGGTGATTTTCATCTAGATGTCCCATCAATAATACAAACTCAACATGTCCAAAATGGAACTCATCATTTCCCCCCACAAACCTGGCCATTCTCCAAAGTACCCTGTTCTTATCAAAGGTACTGCCATCCTCCAACTCTCCCATGTCTTTAACTTTAACTTTTTTTGGAGGCAATTGGGATTAAGTGACTTGCCTAGGGTCACACAACTAGTAAGTATCTGAGGTCCTCCTGATTCTAGGGCCTATGCTCTTATCCACTGTGTCACCTAGTTGCCCCTTGTGTCTTTAAGTTTAAAATCATGTTTGATTCTTTCTTCTCACTCAGTGCCCCTCCATCCCATATCTGACCAGTTGCTAGGCTCTCTCCATTGTACTTTTTCAACATCTCTCAAATTTACCCCCTTCTCTTTACTAATATAGCTTTTACCCTATTTCTGGCCCTCATTGCCCACCTGTCACCTGAATTATTGTAATAACCACCTTGTTTCAAGTCTCTCTTCTCTCCAATCCATCCTCTACATAGCTGCCAAATGGTTTTCCTAAGCTAGGGGCTGGCCATGTCATTTTTCTCAAAGACCTTTAGTGACTCCCTGTCTTCCCAACAATAAAATACAAATGCCTCAGCCTGGCATTAAGGCCTTCTACAACCTTGTTTGAACCAATTTACCTTTCTAGTCTTGTTTCACTATTTTCCCCTTTACATACTCTTCATTTCATCCAAACCAGATTCCAGTTCTCCAAACTAAACATTTCAGTGCATTCACTTAAGTCATCCCCTTTGCTTGGAACGTATTCCCTTCTTAACTTTGCCTTTTTGACTTTTTATCTTCCTTCAGGGCTCACCTCGGGGGCCACCTCTTCCATGTAGTCTTCCCCAAACCCTCCCAAACACTGGTTAGTACTCTGTCTCTCCACAAAGTACCTTTTACTCATTTGTGTACATGTATCCCTTCCCTCAAATAGAATGGAAGCACCTTGAAAGTAAGTGCTAAAATCTTTTTATTCCTAGGAATGAGTACAATACCTAGCATATAGAAGATACCTGATAAATATTTGTTGAATTTAATTGAATGTGAATTTAAGCAGATAGGTGGTGCAGTGGATGGAGCACTGGACCTGGAGTTAGGAAGATCTGATTTAAAACCTGGCCTCAGAAACTTCACTAGCTGTGTGACCCTGGACAAGTCACTTAACCGCTATTTGCCTCAGTTTCCTAATCTGTAAAATGGGGATGATAATAGCACCTATCTCCCAAAGTTGCTGTGAAGATAAAATGAGACAGTATTTGTAAAGTGCGCTGCATACCTTAAAGCATTATATAAATGTGATTATTATATAGGAAGCTAGTTATATAGATAGCCATGTAGTAGTAGATAGTGGATAGACAAATGAACTTGGAGTTAGAAAGACCTGAGTTCAAATCTAGCCTGGCAAGTCACATAAATCTGCCCAGTAACCCTGGGCAAGTCACATAAATCTCTGCCTCAGCTTCCTCATCTGTAAAATGGGAATAATAAAATAAAATGGAAATAAATGAGTGCAATAATAACACCTACCTTCCAGAGTTGTTGTAAGGATAACACAAGATAATATTTGTGAAGTGTTTCGCAAACTCTAAAGTACTATATAAATAGTATTGCTGTTATCATCGATGTCCTAAATTACACATACCTGTTGGTTCAACAGTATATGGCGAACAAACGCCGCCTTGTCTGGCCGTGAGACCACAGCATGATTTGGGGCCTGAGCCAGATGGCAGTCTTTAGCCTCTGTCACAGGCTTCCGTTTACCATCTAAGCACAAGAGTTCAAAGTCCTCACTCTTTAAGTTGTGGGCCCAGCTTTCTTGGTTCTGGCCTGTAGAGAGAGTGGAGTTCATGATTAGCATCTATCTAGTGGGGATTCTATAGGGATGACACAAGTGATAATCAGTACCCATGCATAGGACCTGCTGGGTGATAGAAATCCATATATTTGTGTCATGTGTAGGTCACAAGTCACAGACTGAAAGCTGGAAGGAAATAACCCCAGAAGTGATCTACTCCTGCCTTCTCATTAGCGAGTTCACCACCGGTAAAGTCATCCATCCGCCTACGTCTCCAGCCCCTATATGAGGTTCATGGTCTCAGTGCAGTTCTTCATGAGCAAGGTGGCTTCTCAATAACTTACAGCTTGTCTAAATCATTGGATACTAGGAACACAATTTCTGCTATTGGCTGTCTTCCCTATTGTCCATCTATTTCTTTCCTTCTTCCTTCTAATATACTACAATTCCTCCCCTTCTTTCCTCTCTCACCCTTAATCACCCCCATGCAATTGTTCCCACCTGAAACTCTGCTCTTCTGAGTTAGGATGTAGGTATAGCCTGGCTCAACTGCAGAAACTGCTGGTACTGTCAGTAGTAAGGGGACGTTAGACATGGTTTGAATTGTGTCTTTAGGCCATGGACTTACTGGGCCATGTAGAGAAGAAAATAAAGCTATACTGTTCTGTAGAAGAAGAGAGTGCTTGGTGGGACTGATGGTTTTCTTCAAGTCCTTTCAGGGACCTTATGTACAAGAGGAATTGTGTAGAATTGTTGTGCTTGACCCCAGAGGGCAGCACCAGGACCAATGAGTAGAAATTGCAGGGAAGTCAATTTAGGCTTTATATTGGGAAGAGTTTCCTAATAATTAAAAGATTAGAATGAACTGCCTCAAAAGATCAAGAATTCTTCATTGCTCAAGGTCTGCTGGTAGATACTGGGTGATAATTTGTTGAGTGTTGCTTATTTAGATATGGGTGGGATTGGATGGTCTCTTAGTCTCTTGCAATGCTGAGATTCTGTGTTTGGGAGGCAAGGTAGTATAGTGGGTTGAGTGCTGGACTTGGAGTCCTGAAGACCTGAATTCAAATCCTGCTTTAGATGCTTACTAGCTGTGTGATTCTAGGCAAGTCACTTAATCTCTCTGGGCCTCAGTTTCCTCATCTTTAGAATGAAGAGGTCAGAATCAACACCCTTGAAGTTCTATTTAAACTCTAAATCTATTACCCTATTATTCTATGTGAGTGAATGGATAGAGCAGTGATGCTAATGATTGTGTTCATTTTCACTTTCACAATCATTTGCACATATGTCTCTAAAAACTACTGGGTAGATAAAGCCCTAAGCCTGGAGACAGAAAGACCTGAGTTCAAATCTAGCCTCGTATATTTACTAGCTATGAAACACTGGGCAAGTCACTTAACCTCTTCCTGCCTAAGTTTCCTCATCTGTAAAACGGGGAATAGTAGATTGTGAAGATTAAAATGAGATATATCTGAGTGTCTGGAACATAGAAGGCACTTAATAAGTATTTGTTTCCATCTATCTGCCTATCTATCTATCTATCTATCTATCTATCTATCTATCTACCTACCTATCTATCTATCTATCTATCTATCTACTACTATCTATCTATCTATCTATCTATCTATCTATCTATCTATCTATCTATCTATCTATCCGTCTACCTATTTGTTTATCTGTCTATCTTTAGAAAGCATCTCCCTATCTTTCCCAGGCTACAGGTGTATGGGTTACTCATGGGCCCAATCACACTTTTAATCAGCACAGATGTTTTGACCCACCCTGTTTCCTACCTGACCTAGTTTGTCCCTTCTTAGACAACACTGTGGCTCCCACTCCCAGGGGTTTACCGTGTGGATGTCAAACCTCATAGCGACACCCAATCTACATAGCCTACTTCAGTTAAGAACTTTCAAGCTCAAAATATCCACCATTTTCAACACACCTGGTAGCTAAGATTACAGGTATGCACCACCATGCCTAGCTCATATATGACTTAACACCCTTCTAGAATACAAGCTCCATGAGAGCTGGGATGATTTCTTATCCAAATTTCACATATCATAGGGCCATAGTGTTAAAACTGGAAGTGGTCTTGAAGATGATCTAGTTCAGCCCATTAATTTTATAAATGAGAAATGAAGTCATTTGCTCAGTTATATAAGTACAGAGTATAAGTGCATAAGAAAGTAGCAGAGCCAGGATTTGAACCCAAATCCCCTGTCTCCAGTCCCCTTTTTACTACATCACACTGTAATCTTTAGCATCTAGGAGAGTGCTCTGTATACAGTGGGTATTTAATAAATGCTTGTTGAATAGAATTGTAGAGGTTTCATGTAAAGACTCATGGAATCACAAAATTTGAGAGTTGATAGACCAACCCACAGTCTAACACATATCTCAGAGGAATTCGTCCTATGAAATACCTGACACATATAGTTTCTACTAGAAGACCTCCAACAAGGGAGAATCCACCATCTCTCAAAGTAGAACATTCCACTTTTGGACAGTTCTAATCGTTAGGAGCTTCTTCCTTATATCAAACCTAAATTGACCTGCTTTCAATTTCTACCCATTGTTCCTAGTTTGGGGTCAAGCAAAACAAATCCACCCATTTAGTCTTCCACATGAGTGTCCTAAAAGTTCTTGAAGACAGTCATCATGTTTTCCTTGAGTTTCTTCTCCAGGGTGAACATAACCACCTTGAACGAAATCTCATAGGAAATAGACTCAAGGCCCTTGGAAACTACCTCCAATTTATCTTGTGTATATCTTATTAATACATAGTTGTTTGCATGGTGTTTCCCCCATTATACCATGGGCTCCTTGAGATGAAGAACTATGGGTTTGGCGTAGGGTTTTTTTTATGCCTTTCTATGTATCCCAGTGCTTAATACATTGTTTATCACATATTGGGCACTTAATAAATATTTGTTGACTAGATTTGACTTGGTTTAACTATCTTGGTTGATCTCTAGACATTCTCCAGCTGTTTATCAATATTTTTCTTAAATTGTGGTGCCCAGAACCTTATAAGATACTCCAGATATAGTCTGATAAGGGCAGAGTACAAAGGGGCCATCGCTTCTTACATCTGGGAACTGTGCCACTTTCAGTGCAGCCCAAGAGGGAATTAGATTTTTCAGCTGCCCCATCACACTACTGATTCATATTGACCTTCAAGTCAACTAAAACCTCTAGCTCCTCTTCAGAATAACTATTTTCTCACACTGTCTTCTTCCCCAATTCCATATTTGTTGCATTGGCTTTTTGAATTAAAGGTAAGATTTCACATTTGTCCCTAATGAATTTCATCTTATTAGATTCAGCCCAATGCCCTAAGCTCTTCAAGACCTTTTTGTATCCTGACTCTTTAATCTATGTGTGATAGCTCTCCATCTCAGCTTAATCTGTAAATTGGTTGATTATAAATCAGATCTATAAATTTGTTGAGCATGTGATCTAAGCCTTTATCCAGGTAATAATAAAAATACATCACCTTTTGTACTTTTTATACTGTTTACACACATGAAAGACCTATTATTGGTCCTTTTCAGGAAAAAATGTTGGTGACTAGAGCCATAGAGATGAAGAGTTCGTAAAATTTCCTCATATGCTTAATTGACTTCCACAGAGGTGAGTGTACCCTGGATAATATGGTTCTAGGGGCCAGATAAAAGCATAGTTAATATCATACCATCTGTATTCTCCAGGACAGTGCTGTGTTTCACAAAGGCAACATCTCCTTTATTCTCAGCCAGGCACCTATAGAAAAATAAGAAGAGAGGAGAGGGGAGGAAAGGGGAGGGGAGGAGAAGGGAGTTGAGGGGAAGAGAGGAGATGAGAGGGTCAGGTAAAAGAGAGAGAGAAAATCAATGTTAGGATGATGTGTTATTTATTTTCCTTCCTTGAAGGCAATTCATTTTAATGTCATATACCTTTCATTTAAGGGAACCATTTTACATATATAATTCTTTTCCTCTTCCCAGCAATAATAGTAATTTACAATCTATGACTGTCACCAAAAACAAAGATAAAAAAGGAAAAGTTTCCATTAAGTTTTTGGATTAAGAAAATATTTCTAAAATTTTTGTACTGTTAAAAACTTTTATTTAAATAAAACTTTGTGGTTCCTATTTGAGTTTTATATTGAAATCTTTAAAAAATTTTGAAAATGTATTACCAATGATGCACTTCAATAGTTCAGCATATGTGTGATTTCATTCACTAGGAGTGCTCCCTTCAACGATGTAGAGAGCAACTTAAGCATAAGCTTTTTTATCCTATGCAACACTTGTCCATGGTCCTACAGATTCTTCACAGGGACTCTGTCCAACTAGCCAAAGACCTTTCTCTTGATTTCTGTGTGTGTGTGTGTGTGTGTGTGTGTGTGTGTGTGTGTATGTGTGTGTGTGAGGCAATCAAGGTTAAGTAACTTGCCCAGGGTCACACAGCTAGTGTCATGTGTCTGAGGCCAGATTTGACAGTTCCTCCTGACTCCAAGGCCGGAGCTTTATTCAATTGCCACCTACCTGCCCCTTGATTTCTTAACATTACGTGGAGAACCAGTGTCATCAGGTCATCCATTGTTTTTCACTCTTGTGCTTGACTGGTTCACCTGCTTTTCCATCCATATGTTTCCTGGATGATATCTTTTGTGCCTCTTTATGTATGCCATTCATCATTCGTAATATGCTCTAGCTTATTTTTGTTTTTTTCCCCCTCCATTGTCCTCTGGATGATCTACAGTTTTGATTTCCCAGACATGATAGAATTCCATGATTCATAATCACAGAGCATCCCCAGGAGAGCTCTGATACTATAAAAATGTGAGATTTTGTTTCAAGAAGGGTTTTTTTTTGGGGGGTGGGGGTTATCAAAAATGCTGCACAATTTCCCAAATCCAATCTAGCCTCTCTCTTCCTCTTAAATTCTTTTTTATATTAGTTAATATCACTGATGTTAACTGGGAGGCTAAAGGCATATTGTCTGGCTGGTTTATACAATGTGATAAAGTTTGAAAGAAAAGTAGATAACTTAATCCTCAGAGATTTCCACCAGGATTCCTGTTCCTATACAATAGCTCTATGAGGGATGAAATGACATTACTCCTTCCTCTATTGTTACATTCCTGATCACCTTAAAAATGATCCTGAGACACAGTTTTAATTTTTTTTCTTCTGACAAATGCAGATTACATTAGGAATTGTTCTCTGCCATTCTGTCCATTTAAGATATTTTTTTCAATGACATCATCACACATATACCATGTGATAGCCAGAACTCAAAAACATGACCCTCAAACAGTAGGAGATGCTGATTAGTGAAATAAAATTAAATTATATTCTTTAGAGTTTTAGTGTTGGTTCTATTTTGATAGCTTCCAATTCTTTGGATTAAGGAATACTATTCTAAAAGACCAAAAGTAGGAATATTATTCCATGAAATATTGTTCCTTTGTGTGTGGCTGTATCTGAGTGCTTAATTTTTGGTTTTCCTCTTGTTCTCTCTATCCTATATTTTCTTTGTCTCAATCTCTCTGTCTCTCCATGAATTTTGCTCTTTCCATTTCTCTTTCCATCCCTATTTCTTAACTGACCATCATGATGAACTGGAGTTATTTTCATGATTTATTCTATTAATTGCAATAAAGGCACATCATTTTTTTTGGTGAAAGAGTGCTTTCTGTTCTTAATTTAAAAGGCTGATGGCTAGAACGTTTAATATCTCTCTCTCTCGCAAAAACAACACTGAATGTGTTTGCTTATTACTTGTATGTGAGTTTCAATGTATTTTTTTCTGTGGGCTAATGGGCTTCAATTGGGAGGCAGTAAGCCATAGTCAATAGAGCCCTGGACTTGGGGTTAGGAAGACATGACTCAAATTTCACTTCAAATATTTGATAGCTAGTTGTGTGACCCTGGGCAAGTTATTTACCCTTTCTTAACCTCAGTTTCCTCATCTGTAAAATGAAGGAGTTGAACTACATGCCTTCTAATTTTCCTTCTAGCTTTAAATCTGTGATCCTATAATTAAAAAAAACATTCCTTTTGGAAGGAAAATAAAAGCTTCTATTCAAAGCTACATCTATATAGCAGGTTAAGTGGTTGGTACTGATTCCTTTATATTGTGGCGTAAGCTTCCTGAAGTTGGAATAACAGCAAGAAAAATGAGATAAATATTGGAAATATGCCAAGAAGATAAGGGATAGACACTGGTGGTAGTGGTGATGTGAACAGGATTCGATTTAGCAGAGGCAGTGTAGCATAGTGGATAAGGAATTGGCCTCAACTACAAGAAGACCCCTTATTCATACTGGCAGGGTAACCTTGGGGAAAGCAGCTTGACTTCTCGGTCCTCTACATCAATGGTTTCAAATTCAGGTGGAAATGGATCCTTGCAAGCTACCTATTAACTTTAAAAACCACAAGTTGACATTATCTATGTTTTATTGTTTTAAATTTATTTTATTAAACATTTCCCAATTACATCTAAATCTGGTTGCAGCTGCATAGAGTTACATGCTTCAAGTTTGACACCTCTTCTCTAGAAAACTCTTTTTTTTTTGTGAGGCAATTGGGGTTAAGTGAGTTGACCAGAGTCACACAGTGTTATGTATCTGAGGTCAGATTTGAACTTAGGTCCTCCTGACTCCAGGGTTGGTGCTCTATCCACTGCGCCACCTAGCTGCCCCTAGAGAACTCTTTAACACTAGAAGATGTTGACCTGCATTAGCAGAAATTGTTTCCTCACCCAGGAGTTCCCTATTCTAATGAAATTACAGTACCATACCTTAAACAGAGGGCTAGGAACCAGTAGTATTCCATCCTGCTGAGTCTAGATCATAAAGAATAGAGGAAACACATCCCTTTTCTTCAGACAATTCTTTATCACTGATTTCTTAGAACAAAGGTATAGCTGTCTGTCTACTGACCTAGTAAAATGAACTGCCTTCAGGGAAGGAAAATAAATAACTTCATCCAAACAGTGATTTTCTCTGTGACACTTACCTGAAAGCCCCTGTGTAGCCATAATATTTCTCTTTGCTGTTGGCAGCACACTTGTTCAAACCTCCTGCCTCTGGACTGCCAACACATAAGGCACAGAGGCTAGAATTAACATCAGCACCAGGAGCACAGGATTCACTGAAGTATTTATCTGCACAGAGGAAAGACAGTTGTTCTACCAGAGTCAATATAGGACCTTTATAAGCATAAAGGGGGTGATCAGAACGTTCCTTGATCACTTTGGTGAATTTACTCCAAATCAACCTGGTTAGATTATAGCATACGAGACTTAGTTTAGAAGCAACTGAGGGATCCATCCCCATGGAATGTAGGCATGCCCAATGAGGCCTAGCAGAGATGACATGGGCATCTCTAGACGACAGTTTGCCCAAGACTCAGGAATGGACAGGATTTGAAGGAGCTGTCCGTGGTCCTGCTCTATAAGATAAGCTAAGGACCAACTTGTTTCTCTTTCTCTCTCTGTCTCTCTCTCTCTCTGTCTCTCTCTCTCCCCCCCCTCTATTTCTTTCTCTCCCCTTCTGTCTCTGCCTCTCTCTGTCTCTTTCCTCCTCCTCCTCCTTTTTCTTCTTCTTCTTCTTCTTCTTCTTCTTCTTCTTCTTCTTCTTCTTCTTCTTCTTCTTCTTCTCTCTCTCTCTCTCTCTCTCTCTCTCTCTCTCTCTCTCTCTCTCTCTGATCACAGACCAGTAAGGAGCAGAGCATACCTGCATTTTAGGAGTGGAAGAGACTCTCTATGTGTAGTTTCTTTACTCCAGGGCCCCAAGCACTTAATGACAATTTGGAGAATCCATCTCCAGACTCCTCCTTTGTACTGGCTATCCCCATACCTGGAATGCTCTCCTTCCTCCCTCTAACTCCTAACTTCCATGACTTTCTTCAAACTTCAGCTCAAATCCTTTCTGTAGGAGATCTTCCCTCACTTTCTCCCACCCTCACACTTACCCCTGTTTGTATCTTACTCTGAGATTAAATGGCCCAAGTAGCATTATCCTGGATTCTAATTTTCTAGCCAGAGAAAAGAGATTTCTTGCACAGCATCAACTTTGGGAGATGCTTCCTAAGTAAATTCAATTGCAAGACTTCCTAAATTTAAGGGTTCCTAAAATTTCAAGAATTGGAGAATTGGACCTTCTAGTTCAGGGGTCCATGGACCCCTTGGGGGTCTGGGAACTTGGATGGGAATTTATTTTCTCCAAACTTTGGTTTCCTTTGTAATTGTGTATGTTTTCATTTGATTCATTAAAATATTATTCTGATAAAGGTTCTCTCTATAGGCTTCACCAAAATGACAAAGGATTGCATGACAGAAAAAAAGGTTAACAACCTCTAGATTGGAGGGATGCAGTGTGTTTGTTGGAGAATGAAGAGACATGATATAGTTCCTAAAGCTCAGGCCTGCCTTGTGATTAAAAAGGCCTATTCCAGCTCAAAAGACAGTTAGGAAAAGAGGAAAAAAAAAGAGAAAAATTTAAAAACACATAAAAGGAAAAAAGGTGGGGGGCTGCCCTCCTCAAAAGGGAAATCTACTCCCAGTCAACTAATCATCTTGTGTTACCTGAATCCTCTCCACAAAGTACCAGTGAGCAGCCTATGCTCCATGGGAGGATGCCCCTCTGGTGTCCCCAAAGAGCAATCTCATCAGGTTAAGTGGAGAACTCATTAAACTGATCTGGAACTTTCCTGAGCATCCCCTGCTCCTTCCACCATGTTACAAACTTCTGTTTTAATCTGCACAATTGCTTCAATTAAGTGAGGGCATATGGCCATAATACCAGAATCTGAAATAAATTCAAAGTTTATAAAGAACCTTTACAAAGTCTATGAGCAATTAAGGTGTCCAGTTCAGGGAAAGGAAATAACTATCAGCTGGTGATTGAAAAACAAAACAAAGATCTGAGTCTCCTATATATAGAAAGGCAGCTTACAAACTCCCACCATCACTCAGGTTCTTTGGTGATGTATTTTCTTTCTCCAGAGGGAGGCTCTTTGTGTCTATTTTAACCTGATTTCATCTGTATAAAAATGTTTTGTGTGCGTGGGAGCAGTATGATTTTACTAAGGTCTGCATATTCTTCCCCACTCCTATTCCGACCCCTAGAATGTCCTATTCTTATTTCTCTCAGCACACTGTCTTACCAAATTCACAGGAGTTGGTTTGATTGTGTATCAGACCCATAGGAATGTTCCAACCAGCGGCTCTGTTAATTGCTGTGTGACAGGACTTTTTGCCTTGCAGTGAGCCCCACTTAAGATCAGCATCAGACTTCCTAACAACTGCCACAGCATAATAGCCTTGCAAGACACATAGAAAAGCAAATGTTAATGCAGGGGCAGGAGGAATCATTGATTTAGGCATTTCATCAGGTGCTGCTGGTTTCTGCCCACCCAAGTCTTCTCTTCACCCTGGGGGAGGCAAGAAGGTCTCCCCCAACTCCCACTTTTCATAGTCTCACTTTCTCCCTTTTCAGATGAAGAAAAACTGAGGATCACAGAATTCAATTGATTTGCCTAAGGTCGCACAGCCCTTAGGCTCAGTGTAAAGGAACACTTCCCTATAGTTAGAAGTATGTATAGATGGAATGGGCCACATAGGAGGTAGCTGATTCTCCCTCCAGGGAAATCTTCCAGCAAGAAATGAATGACTCCTTGTTGAGTAAGTTGTAGGTGATTCTCGCTCAGATAATAAACAGATTGTTCTTCAGGCAGGCCTTTCCCCCCCTATTTTAAATATTATTATATTATAATATAATCTATTATATCATATTATATTTATATTAGTTTATATTTTATTTTTATATTTTTTATTTTTTGTATTGTTTATATTGTCACTCAATTTAGGCTTTCAAAATCTTATTTTGTGGCCTTCACATTTTTAAACACATGGAACAAAAGTAATCATCTATTTTTCTTCTTAAGTTACTACACGCTTAAGGTATTCATAGGTTTCTCCTGCTGTAGCTCTTTGCTAATAGAATCTTTACTAAACTGCCGCTGAGCTCCACGATGTGTGCAGTCTTACTCCAGCAGTAGATGGAGCTCACTATGGGCACCTGACAATTTTCAAACACTTTTGGAGCTATTTGGAGTTGGTATAAAATTGTTAAAATGAGGAAATTCAGCTTGATGATCTCAAACATCCCTTCCAGCTCTAACGTTCTAGTACTTTTTACCTCTTTCTTGCTTGAAATATCCCAATAGCTTCCCATTCAAGTCTCTCCCCTTCTTTGATCCATGTTTTGGGAGGTTAAGTGACTTGCCCAGGGTCACACAGCTAGTAAGTGTCTGAGGCCGGATTTGAACTTGGGTCCTCCTGACTCCAGGGCTACTTGCTCTATCCACTGCACCACCTGGCTGCCCCAATCCATTTTCTTACAGTTGCCAAAGTGATTTTCCTAAAGCATAGGTCTTCTCACATCACTCAATAAACCTCAGTGACTCTCTATACCTCTGATGTTAAATACAAACTACTCTGACCATGTCATTCCTCTACTTGATAAACTGGCATTACCTTCAGGATTAAATATTAAAATCTTCTGTTTGGTGTTCAAAGACCTTCATAACCTGCTTTCCTCCCCCACTTCTTTCCAGTCTTCTCACAACTTATATCCCTCCCCCACAACATTCTCTGAGATCCAGTGACCCCAGCCCCAAACAAGATACTCCGTCTTCTGACTCTGGTCATTTTCACTGTCTCCCATACCTAGAATGCTCTTCCTCCTCATCTCTGCCTTCTCTCTACCCTGGCTTCCTTCAAATGCCAGCTAAAAGCCCACCTTCTCCAAGATGCCTTCCTTGATTCCCCCTTAATTCTAGTGTCTCTCCTCTTGTTAATTATTACCCATTTATCCTCTATATACCTTGTTTGTACATAATTGTTTGCATGTTGTCTTTCCCCACTGCCCTCCTTAGACTATGTTGTTCTTGAGAGCAGCAATTGTATTTTTCCTTTCTTTGTATGCACAGTGCTCAGTTCATTGCTTGGCACGTAGTAGGTGCTTTCTGTGTTTTCTTTTCAGTTTCAAGTCTTGAAATTGCCTCAATCTCTTGTTTAGTTAAAAGTACATCTCTTACCCATGGCTGTAAGAGGCATATGATCTGTTTGTTGTCTAATTGCTTTATAATATGATCTTTAATGTTAAGGTCACATATTAATATAGCATTACATTTATATAGCACCTACTATGGGCCAGACCCTGGGTCAAGTGCCTTACAATTATTATCTCATTTGATCTTCATAACAACCCTGAAAAGCAGGTGCTAATATTATCTTTATTTTACAACTGAGGAAACTGAGGCAAATAGAGGTTGACTTGCCAAGGGTCACATAGCTGATAAGTGTCTGAGGTCAGATTTGAACTCAGGTCTTCCTGACTCCAGGTTCAGCACTCTATCCAAAGTGCTCAATAAAAGTTTATTCATTGTTCTGAATTTGAGGCTCTTCACAATATGATTCCAATCTATCCTTCTAGCCTTTTTACATAATATTTCCCTTCACACGCTGCCCAACCCAGCCAAAATGGCAGTCTTACTATTCTTCACATGTGACATTCTGCCTCCCATGTTGCCCGAGCCTGGAATGCCCTCCCTCCTCACCTTTACTTCTTAGAGTCGTTTGTTTTCTTCAAAGCTCAGCTCAAGCATAGCCTTCTAAATGAGGCCTTTCCTGATCCCCCCATCTGATAGTGCCATCTCTCAAATTATTCTTTATTTATTTTTGTGTCTATTTTCTATTAGAGGCAGCTGGCTGAAGAACCAGGAAGACCTGGGTCCAAATGCTGCCTTTGACACATACTAACTAGATGACCCTGGGCAAATTACATCACTCTCAGTACTGTAGGGCAGGGCTTCTTAAACTTTTTTCCACTTGCACCTCCTTCAGCGGCTCTTAAACTGTGAATCATGATCCACAAATCGATTTGTTCTGTGAAGTTTGGTTTCAGTCTAAGGGCTGCACTTGAGGACCTAGCAGGCCACATGTGGCCTTGAGGCTACAGGTTCCCCACCCTTGAGCTAGGCTAATAATTCGTAGTCCCTTGCTTGGTGCTATGCCATATCTACAAACTGACAGCCACCAAAGCGGTCACCTAATAACCCTTGTGCATTTTCACAGCTGAACCTGGCTTTCTACAGATTCACCAAATTGGATTTCTTTGCAACTCTTTTTTCCCCTCAAGGATTACAAATTTCCATACACTATCTGAGTTACCAATTTAGACCCACCTTCGATTGGTTTAATGGAGCAAAGAGGCCCTCGCCCATAACTGGAATCCTTAGTCTCTGAAAGTACAAGGATAAAGGAGATGTCATCTTTCATTAGTATTTACTGAGTTGAGTATCTGGCATCTTTAATAACTGTTTAATGTCATACTCCTTTCATTTTCCACAGTTTAACATAAAGTGAATTATAAAAAGAATCTGATTGAATTCAGCCAATTTTCATTTAGTTATTATCTGATTATGCACCTTGTGGATAACTCTTTTCTTTTTCTTCTTTTCTATCTGTTTTCTTCCTTGTGTCCATTCTATTACTTGTTAGGCCCTCCCTCCCTTGGAGAATGGTCAGGGGCAGAGGGAAGAGCTGAAACTTGCTCCTTGGCACGATGAAGAAATTTAAAATAAATGACTAAACTAAGATGTTTTCATGATCATTGAACTTCAAGTTACTTATGCTTCTCATGATTATTGACCATTCTGTTATCCCTGCCATCCCTACATTTCAAATCTGCTTAAACAGGCCAATAAAATCTATGTGTGGAATATAATTTCTCCAGGAACCAGGTGGAGTCAGTTACCAAGGGAAGGTCTCATTCAACTTACTGTAATTCTCTGCCAGGACAACCTCTAGACCACATTTGCCAGCAATGTAGATAAATCCTCCATCCAAGCTCATGGCATCAGCTTCCCCTTTCTAAATGGCAAAGTAAATAATTAGAGGGATGAATGGATGGAATTAGCATTTATTAAGTACATACCCTGTGCAAAGCCCCTTACAGATATTATATCATTTGATCATTAGCAAAGTGACTGGGTTGTTTCCTGTCCCATATTCCTTGTAGCCCTCCCCTCTATCAGGACAGCTTCATCGTATACAAGGTGACTATGCTGGCAAATGAAGGCCCAGGACTAGGTTTTCTGCCAGACACTAGTCAGAGGATCAGCCACATGAAATAGACAGACATAGAAAAATAATAATAGTATTAATAATAACTACTATCCGTACACATATACTCATTTACAAAGCATTCCTATGCAGGTCCACTCTTCACAATGAGTTTTTTAATTTGTGAGAAAGTGAGTTCAAGGCTTATGGGAAGAATATTGTTATTGTTATTACACTGCAATTTAATTAAATGCCTTTGAGACAAGTGGCACAATGGTAGAATACGGGGCTTGCAGTCAGGAAGACCTGAGTTTAATTGAGGTCCTAGCCACTTCCTAGCTGAGTGACCCTGGCCAAGTCACTTAACTGCTCTTTGCCTCAGTTTCCTCAACTGAAAATGGGGATCATAATAGCCCTACCTTGTAGGGTTGTTGTGAAGATCAAATGAGATATTTGTAAAATAGCAGAGTGCCTGGCACATAGGAAACACTTAATAAATGCTTGTTCCTCTCCCCCAAATCCTTTTGTTATGAACTAAGGAGTGTGTATGGTAAAAGTAAACATAGTGGTAGGTATTTGGAGCCAGATTTTTGGAGAGGACTGACTCACAAGATAGCTGTAGAGGGGCCCAGAGTGATAGGGAAGCATGGAGTTACATATTCAACTAATTCCAAGTCAGGATCATATGACCATAGAGTTAGAGCTTAAAGGTCATCAGGTTTAACTCCTTTAGTTTATAGATGAGGAAACTGAGGCCCAGAAACATTAAACGACTTGCTGAAGTCCACACAAGTGGCAAGAGGCAGAGTTAGGATTCCAAGCCAACTCCTCTCACTCCAAATACCATCCCGCCAAATAAGTAGTAGAACTAGGATTCAGATCCAAGTTCTTTGTCCTTTAGAACCCAAGAATGATGATGCAATGTCAATATGTTGGCTCTGTACCATAATCTTGTCGATGCACTCTTCTGTGGTTTCTGCCACAACACATTTAATGGCTAAACCACTGACTGTACTCCATTCAAAGCACTTTGACTCTTCATCTTTGCTCACTGCACACCACATCACTTTGTTGGATAAAGAGGGAGAAGTCTTGGCTAGGACAAAAGCAAGAAGGAGAGATCAGAGTTTGGTTTTTTGTTTGTTCCTTAAGTCAGTAAGAGGAAGAGGGGTTGTGCTAATACTTATGTTGAGACTTGTCAGCTTTGTTGCTATCCAATAATAGCAGCTGTTTTTTTTCTTTAACAGTGACACATCCTGAGTACTTTATATCCTCAACTAATTTCCTTCCACTCATTCCCCATTTGTCACTTAACACACATTATTTTGCACCTACTATGTGCCAGGCATTATATTAATCACTGGGGATACAAAAAAAAAAGGGAAAAATAGTTACAACCCTCAAGGAATTCAATTCTAATGGAGAGGATGACATGTAAAGAACTAGGTACGTCCAAGATATATACAAACAGGAATGTGCTGGTAAACACTTGTTTAACAACTGGGTCTCAAAAAAAGGTATGAAGTTCAAAATAAGTTTAATATGCATTGTCAAAATTTTGTCATTTTATTATCAATATCTTTCTCCCTCTTTTCAGTCTAGATAATCAACAACACAAAATATCAAGATGTGATTTGTGGCCTTTGCTGATTTCTGAGGTGTAAATGCTCACATTGCAAATTTAACAATCAGTTCTCCTGAGCTGGTTTGACCTGGCTCCAGCACACCTTTGTGTAGATGGATGGTAACCTGAGAGGGGAAGGGGAAGCAGCTAGGGAGACCAGAAACGGTCTCCTTGCAGAACGTGACATCTGAGTCAAGTCTTGAAAGAAGCCAGGGAAACGAAACAGAGATGAGGAGATAGAGATTTCTAGGCATGGGGGACAGAGAGTAAAAAGGCACCCTGGTGGAAAGACTCCACGGGCCTACTTGTCCACATCTAGAAAACAAAAGGGTTGGACCAGATTCTCTCTGTCTCTTCTCTCTTTGTCTCTGTCTCTCTATCTCTCCCCTCATCTGTAAAATGAAGGGGTTGAAGCAGATAATGTGTATCCTATGACCTACATTCAAATATTAACTCTGTTACTTAATATATGTAGGACCCTGGGCAAGTCACTCAAACTGCCTGGACATCAGTTTCCTCATCTATAAAAGGGGAGGTTGTATGAGATAACTTCTGAAATCCCTTCAAAGTCTAAGACAATGAACCCCTGGATTTATATCTAATTTTACTAGCTTACTAACTAATAAATGTCACTATCTGGATCAGAAAGCCCAGATGTTTACTATGGACACAATGCCAGTGTTAATTCAATATGATGTCAGCAGTCAAGCATAACTCACTGATCCCAATATCCTGATTCACCTTGACAGGGCAGATCAACAAAAGCCAAAACCATTAACAAATAACTCCATATGATTGTCTAGAAAGGAGAGCTAAAAAAGTATCCAGAAATGAATTCCTTTCCTATTTAGCAAGATTCAGCAAGAAGTAGAACAGCAATTGAGGAAGAAAGATAAAGACTAGCAAATCAGAAGATCTAGAGTTGGAAGTTCAGTCCGTCAACAAGCATTTATTAAGCACCCACTATGAGCTCATCACTGAGCATACAAAGAAAGGAAAAAGAGTCCTTGCTCTCGAGGAGTTCACAGTCTAATGGGCAACACAATTTACAAACTGTGTACAAACAAGCTATAGACAGGAAAGCTTGGAGATAATCAACAGACAAAAGGTACTAGAATTAAGGGAGATTAGGGAGGGCTTCCTTGTAGAAGGTAGGATTTTAGCTGGGACTTGAAGAAAACCTGGGAAGCCAGGAGGCAGAGATGAGGAGGGAGAGCATTCCAGGCCTGGGGGACAGCCAGGGAGAACGCCCAGAGCAGAGATGGAGTGTCTTGTTCAAGGAACAGTCAGAAGGCCAGAGTCACTGGATTAAAGAATATGTGTTGGGGAGTAAGGTGTAAGAAGGCTGGAAAGGTAAGGAAGCACTTGGAAATAATCTAGTTCAATCTCATCATTTTGCAGATGAAGAAACTGAATTGAATAATTTATCCAAGTTCACACAGGAAAAGAACAGAGTGAGGATTCAAACCCAGGTCCTCTGACTCCTAACCTAGTGCTCTCTCCTCTAGTGGGATGATACTTGGTTGACAAAAAACTTTCCAGACACTTCCAAAGTGAACCAACTGACCTAACACTGGTGTGCAATTTGGGGCAAGTCAGTTCCCCTCCCTAACCTTTCAATTTCCCCATCTAGAAATGAGTGGGGAGGAGCTCTGATAGTCTAGGATGTTGTATTTCCTCACTGGTGGCAGGTGGGAACTAGGAAAGCAGAAGAGATTTCCTGGTCTCCTAGATTGAGGGAGGAAAGTTTACAGCAAGAAATTGGAGGGGATGTTCTGAAAACTTTCTCTGAGCTTTGTCCATGGACACTGGGTGGTAGGCAGCCCGGAGGCTCAGCATGAGGTTCTTGACACGTGTGTGCCAGCATCCTACATTGGTACAAAACAGTCTAGTACAGAGCTTCTTAATCTGGGGTCTGGGGTTAGATTGCAGGAGGTCTGGAAATTTCAGTTGGAAAAAGAAAAACGTTCTTATTTTCCCTATCCTCTAGCCAAAATTTAGCATTTCCTCCAATTACGAAATTTTATTTTAAAACATTTTAAGGAAGGGTCTCTAGGTTTCACCAGTGTGCCAGAGGAGCCCACAATACAACACAGGTGAAGAAGCTGACTGTGTTTAGTGGTTCACCAGACTTAGGTGAAAAGAGAAATGTGATAAGGGAGTAACTGGGCTTGTTTTCCAATAGATCAAAGAGCTGTGAGTCAGGAGTCTGTGAAAACTTATGGGAAAGAGGTCATTTAAATTTATGGTTGTTAGCTTCCCTGGCTATTCATTTGCCAGAATTATCTATCTGTCACCTATCTATCATCTATCTAACTAACTATCTATCTTTCTTTCTTTCTTTCTTTCTCTTTCTTTCTTTCTTTCTTTCTTTCTTTCTTTCTCTCTCTCTCTCTCTTCTCTCTCTTCTCTTCTCTCTCTCTCTCTCTCTCTCTCTCTCTCTCTCTCTCTCTCTTTCTATATCTATCTATCTATCTATCTATCTATCTACTTATTTATCTATCTATTTACTCATTCATCTATTTTAGGGAAATGTTTTGGAACCCAAAGGACCATACTCCCCAAAGTATGAAGATGTCTCTCAATGCCTACAACAAAACTAGGGTTATTAGGGACTGCTCTTGTTTACACTGCCCAGCCCCCTCTGGCATGTCCCAGAGTCATTGCTTACACATTGTCAAAGTCTTCAGAGCCTTCATGTGCTTATAGCCCAGGTACTGCTCATGATCCATTTTAGGAGGGAGCCTCAGAAACCTGTTTGTTGAGTCTTTAAACAGCAGATCCTTGCCATGATGGGAACCAAAGAGTTGGAATGTCTCCGATTTGCCCTTGCCAAACCTTTCCTATTCAAGGGAAAAGAGAATCATGAGTGAAAGCAGATGACAAGGGAGGCCATAATTCAATGTTTAAAAGGACAAAAAATGAGACCACAAAAGGAGAATCCTTGGGGGAAAAGGAAAAAGGCCAAAAGATGGAAAGGAATCTTTGAATAAAATGGGTCCATAGAAGGAAATATAGATGTGACTGTAGATAGAGACTGTGGTGGATTTCCCTGTAGAAGGACTTCTCTTCTATCCATTCCCAAGACCCTTTCATGGCATCTGCGAGGTCAAAATTACTTTCAAAATAATACTAAGATGTCATTTGCTTATTAAATATTCCTCCCTTTTCCAACTACATATCGGTGTGAGGCTGGATTTTCTTTATATGATTCATTTCAGCCAAAACAACATGTCACAAAAGATTGAATCCAGAGCAGCTATGAGAATCCAACTGTCTTCTATTAAGCCAGACATTAAAGAGATTTGCAAAAATTTGTAAAACAATGCCACTCTTCTCACTAATTTTTTTGTTTTGGAAAACATATTTTTCTTTAAAATATTATTTATGTTAACATGTAATAGGTTTATTATTTTTAAATGAATTAATAAATAAATATTTCAAAAATTGGTCAGTTTAAATTTCTAATACAGTAAATATTAATAGATAATAGCCTATGAAAACATATCTTTAGGGATGGAGGCCTCCATAATTTTTAAGAATATAAAGAAGTCCTGAGACCAAAATGTTTCCAAACCACTGCTCAATGGCATAGCTTAGGCACAGCCTGGCAGGCAGGTCTAAGCTCATGAAATCCTGATCAATGAGTCAGCAATACAGGAGGTGGCCTTCATGGGCTTTAGGGTCTGTGGAGTATATACTGAAGTAATGAGATACCAATATATGGTGAATGGCATCACCTTTTGAGAGAATCACTGAATTGATCAAAGGTTGGCTCTTTTGCAACATCTGATATGCCATCTGATACTGAAAGTGAGGCTGAGGAGATACTTAGTATCCACAAAGAATGTTTTTTTCCGTGAATATGTAGGATAGAATGAAGTTTGGACAGCTATAATGCACAGAATTTGGAGGTAAGAGTGAATTTCTTGGCTTTTAAAAAAATAGTATTTTGTTTTGTCTCTTTTCACTCACACACACACACACACACACACACACACACACACACACACTCACAAACAAACCCATGCTGGCCTTGCCTTCTAATTCAGGGGTCATTGATTTGTTTCTGTTATGGTCAATGACACTCAGACCTCCAATTACATTTGAATTCTACTGATTCAGATAAAGACACTTCATACAACTGTTCTGCCTTTACCAAATATAAACTCCTTGAAGGCAGGAGCTATTTTCTTTTTGTCCTTTTGCCCAGCCCCTAAGAAAGTATATTGCAAATATTAGGTGCTTAGTAAATGTCTGCTGACAAAATCAGAAGACCTGGCTTCTAGTTCTTCTTACCCTCTCTAAACCTTGATTTTCTCATCTGTAAACTGGGTATAGTACCAGCCCTGCCAATCTCACAGGGCTATTGTGAGAATCAAAGGATAAGAATGACTTAATTTACAGAGGACTTCAAGGATATAAGGGACTGGAGAATTTTATATGTTCTGATATTATTTCCATTTTAGAGATGAAGACATCAAAGTCCTCAAAGTTGCAGTGAATTGCCCAAAGTCATTAGAAACAAAGCCAGGCTTTGCATCAAATTTGCATCAGACTTTCAAACCAGTTAGTTTTCCAATACAACATACTGCCTTAATGGCGACAGGGTGTAGTATACCTGAAAGAGTCTTATAAATTGTAAAGTGCTATATGTAAGTGATGTATGATTATTATGTAGTAATAGATTTTTGTTGTTGTTGGGGGGGTTGGAGTAGGGAGAGGTATCTTCTAGAATTAGAAAAAGTAGTTAAGAAAGGGGGGAAAAAACCATTCATTGAGCGCCTACTATGTACCTGGCACCATGCTAAGTGCTTCATATGTGTTATTTCATTTGATCCTCACAACCACCCTGGGGAGTAGGTGCTGTTATTATCCCCATTTTACAGTTGAAGAATATGAGGCAGACAGAGGCTAAGTGACTCCTCCACTGTCATACAGCTGGGAGGTCTTTGAAGCTGGATTTGAACTCAGGTCTTCCTGTCCCCAGGACCAGTGCTCTATATCCACTGTGCCATCTAGCTGCCTAAAAAGGGGCAGACAGGTCGAGAAAGAAAAATCCTTGAGAGTCCAAATAAGGAAAACTAAGCATGAAGAGAAGATGGTCCATACCTGTGCCTCAGAAAGAAGATTCCAGATCAGATCCTCCTTGTTATTCACTCTTCGGGCCACAACTGCATTAGCAGGGACCTTGCCTAGGTGACATTTCCTGTACTCATTCACTGGCCTGCTGGTATTATCCTCACAGAGTAGCTCAAATTCATCCCTTTCAGCCGCAGTTGGAAGTGTCTCTGAAAGAATCAAAAATAAAACAAAAGCAATTGAGCACAGTTCCAAGGAAAAAGCCATCCCCTTCAGTTTTCTCTAATTTAATACCTCATGGATCCTCGCCTGAGAGGTTGGGACTGACCTGAGCTAGTCAGGCCAAATTCACTGGATGCAAAACTATTAAAAACAATTACAATTCAATATAAAAAAAAAGCAGCAGATGGCAGTAGCAGCTCAGCAGAGAAACTATTGATGACCTCACCAGCCCACCAATGAGAAAACCACCCAGCAGAAGAGCCAGTGATACATAGCATCACCTCCTAGGGTAAGTATCAGTCAACAGCTCAGGAAGCAGAAAGACATTCTCCACGATGGCACAGAAACTTCTTCCCCCTAGAAACTCACTCTACCCTTGGGTTATTTCTCCTATTGGAAGTATCTGTTTCCTCTGTGGCTTCTCCCTGATTGGTTGGTTCCTCCTAGAACCTTTATTTTAAAGAGGATACTCAGGCCAACCATGGCTTCATTTCTCTCCAGGCCATAATCCTGACCACTTTCTGAGCTTTCTCCATCATGCTCCTGTGTCTGGGACATGTATGTCTTCCTACAATCCCCAACTTTTTCAGTTTCCTTTATGTATTATCTTCCCCCACTAGAATGCAAGCTCCTTAAGGGCAGGGACTATCTTTCTTTCTGCTTGTATTTGTTTCCCAGGGCTTAGCATAGTGTCTGGCACATAGTAAGTGTTTAAATATTTGTTGACTTGTTGACTTGGCTTTTTGATTTGCTCCGATTGGGATGTGATCCTTGCTGTCTATTTGCATTTCTTCTCTCACCAGTGGTATGGGAATCTGTGGGAGGGTATACCCTATGTTTGAGGGAGGAAGGAATTTTTCTACATCCTTAATATTGACTTTTTTTTTTTAGGCAATTGGGGTTAAGTGACTTGCCCAGGGTCACACAGCTAGTGTCAAGTGTTTGGTCTGAGGCCGGATTTGAACTCAGGTCCTCCTGACTTCAGGGCCAGTGCTCTATCCACTGTGCCACCTAGCTGCCCCAACACTCTGTTTAATTAAATGCCTTTGCTTTGAGTTAATATGTCCATTGTTATGGTCTGATAGAGGAAAAAAACTGGATGGGAACTCATGACCTGTGGTTTTCAATGCTACCCTAAAAAGTGCTATGAGCCTAAGTATAACTTTCAGAGGAGGAAGTCTAAGCTAAAAATAAGATCATCACAAAGAGGGTTTTTCTTTTCCCTTCCCAAGTGGGATGTAAGGAAGAACACAAGGATGGGAAACAGAGTGAGCAAGATTGAGATTGGGCAATATTCAAGACTGAACTCAGAGGTGAGTTGGGTTTCTAGATTCTGATCATTACCTAAAAGAGTTGTATGCTCCATAAAACTCACATCTCCAACACCATCCTTCAGGCACCTAAGAAAAGGGGAAGTGGAAGAATGGTTAGAGTCTAGCCATCACTAATGCATCTGACCTCTGCAGTAGTCATAGTCGTAGTCATAGAATTTCTGATTTGGTAGAGACCTTAGCTATCATCTAATTCAACCCTCCTCATTTCAAAACCGAGGCCCTGAAGAGTAAAGTGACTTTCCCAAGGTCACACAGATAGTGAATGGCAGAGCTGGTAGTCAAACCCAGGTCTCCTAATTCTAAGAGTCTTTCCACTATACCATGAGGCCATACCACACAAATCAGCACTTAATAACACACAGTAGTATTTAGATATAATATGGGAGCAAGGTGGTGCAGTGGATAAAAATGGACTTGAAATTAGGAAGATATGAGTTTGAATCCTTCTAGGGACAGTTGGCTGTGTGACCCTGCGCAAATTACATAAATTCTCTCAACCTCAGTTTCATCGTCTGTAAAATAACGGCCCTGCTTCATAGATTTGTGAGTATTAAATGAGATAACATATGTAAAAATTCTCTGTAAAAATGTTGGCTGGTTATTGTTCTTCATTCTTAAAGAGGACCAAAATGACATCAAGGAGTTAGAATCAAGGTACAGTGTCTGACTGTGGCTGATCAAACCAAGATGAGCTTGGAATGCTCTACCACGGTTGGGAAACAGATAGTCCACATGAACATTTGGGGTGAAAATGCCTCTAAACATGCGCATCTCATGTTCTTTTGAGCTACTTCAATTCTTCTTTGCTCATAGAACCCAGCGGCTTCTTTGATGTAGACATGCCATGCTGGGTGGTCCTGTGCCAGTGTCTCCCCTGTTATCCAATTGATTCCAGAGTTCTTCAGAGAGACCTTGAGAGTGTCCCTGCATCACTTCTTCTGACCACCATGTGAATGCTTGCTTGTGTGAGTTCTCCATAAAACAGTCTTTTGGGCAAGCATACATTTGGCATTTAAATAATGTGGCCAGCCCATTGGAGAGAAAGGACCTCAGTGCTGGGTACCCTGTCTTGCCAGGTGATCTTCAGAGTCTTTCTAAGACAATTCAAGTGGAAGCCATTCAGTTTCCTAGCATGTCACTGTCCAGGATTCACAGGCATGCAGCAATGAGGTCAGCACAATGGCTTTGTAGACCTTCAGTTTGGTAGTCAGTCTAATACCTCTTCTTTCCCATGCTTTCCTTCAAAACCTCCCAATCACTGACAATCCCAAACACTGTGGCAATGCATGCCTCAACCTAGTCATCAATGTGTACATCCATGAAAAGTATACTGCCAAGGGAAGTAAGTGAGCTTATCTACAGCATTCAAAACTTCTCCATTTGCTGTAACTGTTGGTTCCACATATGGATGGTGTGGTGCTGGCTGGTGGAGCATCTGTGTTTTCTTGGTGTTAATTGTTAGGCCAAACTTAGCACAAGCAGCAGAGACTCAATTCTAAGTGCTACAGAAATACTAGTTATCATTATACTATATTGTATGGTTGGCTGTTTTTTCTTGAGGGTTACTCTTGCCTTTGCCCCTGGATTATGAGCTGTTTCATTACAGAAACCATGCTTTTTATTTATTTTATTTTATTAAGGCAATTGGGGTTAAGTGACTTGCCCAGGGTCACACAGCTAGTAAGTGTCAAGTGTTTGGTCTGAGATCACATTTGAACTCAGGTCCTCCTGACTCCAGGGCCGGTGCTGTATCCACTGTGCCACCTAGCTGTCCCTCATGTTTTTTATTTCTTCTGTATTCCCAAAGTACATAACAAAGGTCAGAACATGAAGTGTGCATGCTCCCTTCTCCACTGATTACTGAAAAGACAAGACCAAAAAAAAAAAAGTAGGAAAAAATGGAATATCTAAGAACCTTGACATGGAGGGAAGGAGAGGGAATACCTGCTTATTAAGTGTCTACTATGTGTCAGGCACTATATTAAGTGCTTTACAAATATTATCTCATTTGATCCTCACAACAACTCTAGAAGGTAGATCTTATTATGATCCCCATTTTACAGTTGAGGAAACTGAGACAGACAGAAGGTAAGTGACTTTCCCAGGGTCACACAGCTAGTAAGTATCTGAGGCTGGTTTAAACTTAGGTCTTCCTGAGTCCAGGCCTAGCATGAGGGAGACCTATTTCAGGGGGCTTTTTTTCTAGGTGAGGAGCCCTTTTCCAGTATCCTAGGCATACTCTCAGCAAATGCCCAGTTACTACAGCTCATTTTCTATTCCAGAAAGTTTATTTTTTCCAATTCATCTATGAGGTAGGACTGGGGAGGAATAGAAGGAGCACACCCTAAAAAAGGTGGAGAAACCATTTAATTCCTGTGTTATCTAAAGCAAATCGTTAAACTTCCCTGAGCCTGTTTTCCCACCTCTAAAATGGAGGGAGAAACAGCCACTGAGATTCTTTTCAGCTCACGGGATGTGAATTCTTGACCTAAGTGCTGTGGGAAGAAAAAAGGGAGCACCTATCAATTGGGGAATGGCTAAACATATGAGTGTTTATTACTGCTATGAGTACATGAGGGTAATAGAATATTACCCGGCTGTAAGAAATGATGTCTGTGATGGATACAGAGAATCGTGGAAAAGATCTACATGATACATGATACAGAGTGAAGCAAGCAGAGTCAAGAAAACACTACACACAGTGACTGCAACAATGTAAATGGAAAGAACAATGATCCACCAAAAAGTCAAAGGCAAATGTAACAAAATTATAAAGATCAATAGGACTTGAATGAAGAGAGATCTCAGAAGACACCCCAGACCTACCCCTTGGGGGAGGTGGGAGGGCCACAGGGGTTACACATTACCCATATTTTTAGACTTTCTCCATGTATCAATCAGTTGTGCTAACTTTTTTTCCTCTCAAAAATACTATTTATCATATGGAATGGTTCTGTGGGAGGATACTTGGGTAACTATGATGATTTCAGAAACAGAAAAGTATCAAAAGCTTTTAAAAAAAGGAAAAAAGGGAAAAGGAAATAGACAACTTTATGTTTTTAGTGGGATCAGAATAAATTTACAGAAGATAGAAAATGTTCACAGGTCAGATGATATCTGAATTGCAATTAAGTGGAGGGTCCCACTCACATGAGAGCTCCTGAGCTGCCAAAGTAAGGTTCTCTGTTTGAGCACGCACACTGGTCAGGTCCCACTCCAACACACAGGTGACATAGCTGAGAGTTCATCCAAAAAGCACAGGGCACACAGCTGTCAGAGAAAAACTCAGCTACCGCTGCACAGAGAAAAGGACAAGTCATGGAACAACTGAGAACGGTGTGTATGTGTTGGCTGTGTGTTTGCGATGTGAGTATATGTGTGTGATGTCAGTGTGTATATGTGTACATTGTATGATGTGAACATGTACATGTGTGATGTATGTGTACATGTATGCATGTGTGTGATGTGAGTGCATGTATATATGTATGTGTATACGTGCGTGCACATGTGTGACATGAACATGTGCACGTATATGTTTGCAGTGAGTATATGTGTATGTGTGCATGTGTGATATATGTGTGTGCGTGTGTGTACTGTATGGCATGAGTATATGTGTCTGCATGTGATATGAGCATAGCATGTATTTGTATGTATTGCATGTGTGTGGTGCGAGTATATGTGTATATGTGTTTGTGCACATGGTGTGAGTATGGTGTGTATTTGTATATATATATGTGTGGTGTGAGTATATATGTGTACATGTAAATGCGTGTGTGTGCATCTGTGTGATGTGAGTATATATGTGTATGTGTGGTGTGAGCATGTGTGGTGAGTATATGTGTATATGTGCATATGTGTGATGAGTGTGTGTTTGTGCATACATGTACATGTGTGCATGTGTACATGTGTGATGTGAGTATATGTGTATATGTGCATGTATGTATGTATATATGTGTGTATGATGTGAGTATCAAAATGAAGTTGTAAGCATGAAGGAAATTAAGCTTCAGGTATGAAGTAAGAATTTGAATAAAAATCCAAAACTTCAGAAGATTCTTCTCTTACAAAATAGAACTTTTATGCACTGAAAGATTTGGTAATGACCTCTTACATGGCCAAAGTGTGTTGTGCCCATTGCTTGTTGTCATCAGTCTAGAATTCAAAGGTTCTTAAGACTTATTTTAAAAATATTTTGATCACTATTTTTCAATTTAATTAATTTGCTTTGTAATTGTTCATATTTTGTTTTATGTATTTAGAGGTAGTCTCCTGGGAAGGGTCCACAGGTTTCACCAGACTGCCAAAGGGTTCAGAACACAAAAAAGTCCAGAGTCTCTAATCTAGATAATCCTTTTCCTGAACATCTAAGTTCATGCATTACTCACTGTGTGTCCAAAGCTCACACACAAATGCAAGTAAAGATTGATGGCTTTGTAAAACATCATTTTAAAATCTATCTATTTAATATTTATTTTTCCACAATTACATGTAAAAACAATTTTTAACATTTGCTTTTTAAAATTTTGAGTTCCAAATTATCCCCCTTCCTCCCTCCCTCCCAACTCATTGAGAAGGCAAGCAATAGGATATAGGCTATACATGTGCAGTCATGCAAAATATATTTCCATATTAGTCATGAACCATCATTTTTTAAACATAGTTTCAGACCACCAGAAGCCACTCACTGCATTCAGTGCTTACTGCTTGCCACTTACCATTTTCAATAGAATAATTGATATTGTTCCAGTCCAACACACCAAGTTCCACAAGTTTCCCAATGGGGATGATCCACCCGGCTGACATGCCCAGGCCAGTATGGCAGGACCTCTTGCCTTTGAGATCCCTGAGTCTGAAATCAGTTCCTTTCTTCACAACAGCCACAGCAAAGGAGTAAATTTGCCGCTCTGTAAGGTAAAGGATTAGGGAAGATTCTCAGAGCAATAGTCTCCAGGGATAGGAAGACATAAAGGGGTCTCAGATTCTTCACTTTTACCTGATAAGTAAGAGAAGGAAGGATGAGAAAACTCTCCCTTGACTTGCATGGTAAAGTTTTGGGATGAGTTCTTAATTCTTATTAAAAAGGACCTTCACAATCAGGTTCCAGATTACATTTTCAGACTGATTTCACATGGCAGAGGTAGGGAGGTAGCACAGTGGATGATAGGGTGCTCACAGGAAGAGAGTTCAAATCCAGCCTCAGACTGTTACTAGCTGTGTGACCCCCGACAAATCGCCTAACCTCTATCAGTCTCAGTTTTTTCCATGTATAAAATGGGGCGGCATAGAGATGATAATAGCACCTACTACCTTTGGTGAGTCACATTTGATCTCACATGCATACTTTACACATGGGAGCACCTTCCCCTATATTAGATATAGGTGGTAACCATACCCAGGGTGGTTATGAGGCTCAAATTAGATAATATTTGTAAAACACTTTGCAAATGCTACAAAAATGCTGGCTATTAGACACTTCCCCTCACAACCTCCACGTTCCAGCCAAACTGCTCTACTTTTTATTCTCCATAAGTGACATTCCACCTCTTGCCTTCATACCTTGCCTGGCCCACACACCTGGAATGCTGTCCTCCCTCACTACTGCAGCTTGGAATCTCTAGCTCCCTTCAAGGCTCAGCTCATGTGTCACCTCATACATAAGACATTTTCTAATCCCACCCCCCTAATTGTTAGTGCTCCATGAGACCTTGTCACTTATTCTCTCTGGGCCTCAATTTCTTCTTCTGTAAAATAAGGTTAGATTAGATCACCTCTAAGAGATCTTCTAGCTCTAAATGTACAATTCTATGAAATTTTATTAATTCTGTAGATATTATTTACTCATCCGTGTGCATGTTGTATGCTCTTTTCTCCCTCTCCCCTGCCTTTCCCCAACAGCAAAATGTGAGGACAGTTACCTGTTTCCCTCACCACAATGCTCTGAACATAGTAGGTATTCAGTATATGTTTGCTGAATTTTAGAATGCAAAGGATTTTTTCAAAGGCTCCATTTAGGTAAATGAAAGTTATAAAGTCCTGTAACTGGCAGCTGCATAATCCCAGCAGTCTATTTCAGGAAATTTTCTGATTAGAATATTTTTATTGCTTCCTTCTGAAGGATATCCCTTGTGGATTTTTCTTTTTTCCTCTATTCCTTGTTTTTTAAGAGTGGAGAAGGGTCCATCCTACCCGAAAACAAACATAGATGGCTTATAATTCTTGATTGAATCAATCAATCACTCAAAGGTCAACAATCAATCAATCAAAGGGGCCAACAAGGCCTAAGTTATTTTGGTAAGTGTGAAGTACTTAGATCATTAAATGAATCAGGAATGACACACAGGAAACGCATTGGAATTGCTTGAAAGAATCAGACATACCTCTATGACTGTGTATATTTATAGCAAGCCAGTCCCAGCATTCCAGGCAGAAAGTCCAACAAGACAGTCTAGGGATGGTAAAGGAACTCCTTTGGAGGGGTGGGGAAGGATTGAGTTCTCTCTTCTACCTTCAGACTCACCTCCTTTATATTGGCCAGAGGATGATCATGGAAACTTTGAAAGGTTGGAACATTTGAGTTTGGGGAGGTGGTGTCCCTGGAGCAGCAGTGGCTGATGACAGAGTCTGCATTGAGATCAGAAGAGCACATCTAGGACTAACTAGATGCACCAGGGACATTGAGCTTGGCTACTCTGCAAGGGTACCTACCATTGGAACCCAGTAGAAAGCTATACTTATATCATAAGGATTCTTCAAAGGAAAAAAAAAATACTTCTAATCCTAAGGTAGAAATGAATCGTCATTGGTCTCATGTGTCTGCTCTACACATGAGAGTATCTTGCCCTGTATTGGTTATAGGTAGGTAACCACACCATATGGAAATCCAACCATAGGGTTACGTACCTATAACCAATGCAGGGTAAAGTGCTCCCAAATAGATTTACAAATGGGGAATTTTTCATGAGTCCTTACTAAACAAAGTTTAGCCCTAGAACCCTGAGGAGGAGAGTAGTAAATTGTCCTTTGGGACCCAACCAGCTTCATGCCAGTGGGAATTGGAGAAGTAGTCAAGGGAGGGGTGAGATAGCTGTGTGTGTGTGTGTGTGTGTGTGTGTGTGTGTGTGTGTGTGCATTAAATTTCTATCATTTGTCTGGATTCCCCATCACCAAAAGTGTGTCTCTAAGAGGAACAAAGAGGTAGAAATATAGGTGGGTAAGGTATGTTGGTTACACCAGGGTGACCTCTGTCACCCAGGACATTTCCAGCAATTTAGGAAGAGCTTTTGGCAGAAACCCCATTCATTCACTTCCTAAAAGATCTCTCCTGGTACTAAAAGCCAACCTCAATTTCTGAACAGCATAGATTTGTTTCAAGAGCCATGAGATCTCCTGGCACATGAGTCAATAGATTCACATTAGGAAGAACCCACCTTCTTCAGAGCCATAGTCTTCAACTATGATAGGCTTCAGATCAAAGGGGGGTACAGCTGCTTCATAGATTAAGCCACTGTCAACACAAATGGCATCAGCTTCATTATTCTGCAAGAGATGAGCCAAAACGAAACAAAACAATGAAGTCCTTTACCTCTGAAAAAAGAGGAGTTGGAATACAAGTAAGGTTTGTATTTCATAGAAAATCAGGACTAGAAGAATCTTCATGAGATCATCTAGTCCATGGCTCTACCTTTGAACATAAAGCACATAAATATGGTGGATAGCTCTCTTTCAGTAAAGGGGGAGAAGGGGCACCGGCCCTGGATTCAGGAGGACCTGAGTTCAAATCCGACCTCAGACACATAACACTTACTAGCTGTGTGACCCTGGGCAAGTCACTTAAACCCCATTGCCTAGCCAAAAAAAAAAAAGGGGGGGGCAGGGAAGGTGACCTTTCTCTTTAATCTTCCTTAGTAACTCATTCCAGTGTCTCATAGACCTTATCAATGGGAAATATATTTCACTAAAATATAAACCTCCCTTCCTTCATGTAAAATTCATGTAAAAGTTCACCATCAACTATTAGAGTAAGAATTCCCTACTCAACAAAACTGTTAGAAAATATGGAAAGCAACTTGGCAAAAATTAGTCTTAGATTAACATCCTACACCATATATCACAATAAATTTCAAATGGATATGTGACCTAAATATAAAAGATTACATGTCAAAATAATTAGAAAAGAATAGAAAGAGGTACCTTGTATAAAGTACCTCTAGGGAAAGAGTACTAACCATGAGATAAAGGTGATCATAAAAGAGAAAATGAACAATTTCAATTACATAAAAATGCAAAGGTTTTGAAAGAGCAAAATCAGTACAGTTAGAATTAGAGGAAAGCTAATTTGGGAGGAAAGCTTTGTAACAGACATCTCTAATAAAAATCTGATATACAAGATGTATAGGAAATTTACAAATATATAAGAACAAGAGCCATTCCCCAATATATAAGTGGTCAAAGGAAGCAGTTTACTAAAGAGGAAATACAAGTTATCAACAATTCTGAGGCTTTATTTTGCAGCCATTAACTTGGCCAAGATAACAAAAGACAAAATTAATAAGTATTGGAGAAACTTCAGGGAAGACAGGCACACTAATGTGGTAGAGATGTAATTTGGTCTAACAATTCTATATACAGTTTGGATTTATGCCCCTAAATGTCACTAAACTACATATATTCTTTGACCCATTGATACCCCTACTAGTCATATACTCCCAAAGAAGTCAAAGACAGAGCAAAATGTCCTCTCTATTCAAACATTTATATCAGCATTTAAAAAATAATTTTATGAATAGTTTTTGTTCATACATCCCCTACAATTCCTAATGTATATCATCTCCCTTTCACAGAAAGCTATTTCTTATAACAAAGAACTTTTTTTAAAACTTCTGCAAAACTAGTCAATGTAGGGACAGCTAGGTGGTTCAGTGGATAGAGCACTGGCCCTGAAGTCAGGAGGACCTGATTTCAAATCCAGCCTCAGATACATAACATTCACTAGCTATGTGACTCTGGGCAAGTCACTTAACCCCATTGTCTAACCAAAAAAAAAAAACCCCAAAACTAGTCAATGCATAAAAAAATTTAAGTTATTTATTAATAAAAATCTTAATTAACTCTTTCGTATCCATGGTCCTTCACCTTTGCAAAGTAAGAAGTGAGTTGCCTTCTCATATTTCTTCTTTGAGGCCAAGCTTAATCATTATAATTTTGTCTCCATTTCATTTTACTTGCTTTAAAAAATGTATTTATCAATCTATCTATAATAAATCATATGCTTCCTTCCTTCCTTCCTCCTTCCTTCCTTCCTTCCTTCCTTCCTTCCTTCCTTCCTTCCTTCCTTCCTTCCTTCCTTCTTCCTTCCTTTCTTCCTTTCTTTCTTTCTTTCTTTCTTTCTTCTTTCTTTCTTTCTTTCTTTCTTTCTTTCTTTCTTCTTCTCTTTCTTCTTTCTTTCTTTTTTCTTTCTTTCTTTCTTTCTTTCTTTCTCTTTCTTCCTTCTTTCTTTCTTCTTTCTTTCCTTCTTTCTTTCCTTCTTTTCTTTCTTTCTTCTTTTCTTTCTTTCTTTCTTTCTTTCCTTCTTCCTTTCCTTCTTCTTTCCTTCCTTTCTTTCTTCTTTTTCTTCTTTCTTTCTTCTTTCTTTCTTCTTCTTCTTTCTTTCTTTCTTTCTTTCTTTCTTTCTTTCTTTCTTTCTTTCTTTCTTTCTTTCTTTTCCTAACAGTCAACCAAGAAGCATTTATTAAGTACTTACTATGTTTCAGAAAATGTTTTAAGTGCTGAGGATACAGAGAAAGGCAAAAAACATGAGCTCCCTCGAACTCATAGTTGTGGACACAACATGTAAATAAGTAGGTATATACAAGATTTATACTAAGTAGATGGAGGGTAATCTCATAGGGGAAGGCATTAATAGCTAGAGGCAGGAAGGGTCTGAGAAAAGTCTCCTCCAGAAAGGAAAAGATGAGCTGGATCTTTTTTTTTTTTAATTTTTGAGGCAATTGGGATTAAGTGATTTGCCCTGGGTGACACAGCTAGTAAGCGTCTGAGGCCACATTTGAACTCAGGTCCTCCTGACTGCACAGCTGAGCTAGATCTTGAAGTAAGCCAAGGAACAGCTGAATAAACCAGCCACCTCTCTCTTCATCCATTATCTTCATTCTCTGTACCCTAAGCAGCAAGGTCCTTTCTTGTATTCTCAATCAATCCAGCCCTTAAAAATCAGTCAGAACCACTTATATATCTATGTGCCAGATGCTATACTAGATGCCAGCGGAAGTGGGGTAAAGACAAAAATGTATTCTCTGTCCCTGTTGAGCTTACATTCTGTTGGGCGAAACAATATCTTTTTAAATTTTTTTTTTTACTTTTAACATGTGTTTTTAAAACTTTGGGTTACAAATTTTCTCCCTTCCTCCCTCCCCACCTACCCTCAATGAGAAGGTAAGCATCTCAATACAGGTTATAGATGTGTAGTCATATAAAACACTTCCATAGTAATCATGTTGTGAAAAACTAAGTATATTTCCCTTCATCCTATCCTACCCACCATTTATTCTATTCTCTCTTTTTGCCCTGTCCCTCCTTAGAAGTGTTTGCTTCTGATTATCCCCTCCCCCAATCTGCCCTCCCTTCTATCAACCCCCTGCTCTTTTGTCCCCTTACCCCCTTATTTTCCTGTAGGGTAACATAGATTTCCATACCCCATTGTGTATGTTATTCCCTCCTTAAGCCAAATCCTATGAGAATAAGATTCACTCATTCCCTCTCACCTTCCCCCATTCCCCTCCACTGTAAAAGCCTTTTCTTGTCTGTTTCATGTGAGATAATTTACCCCATTCTACTTCTCCCTTTCTCCTTCTCCCAGTATAATCCTCTCTCACCCCTTAATTTTATTTTCCAGATATTACCCCTTCATCTTCACCCTGTGCCCTCTATCTATCTATCTGTACATACATACATATAATTTTTTTCCCCTCCCACTACCCTAACACTGACAAAGAACTCATGAGTTACAAATATCATCTTTCCATGCAGGAATGTAAACAGTTCAACCTTAGTAAGTCTCTTATGATTTCCCTTCCCTGTTTACTCCTCCATGTTTCACTTGAGTCCTGTATTTGAAAGTCAAATTTTCAGAAGTCTCCTATTTCATTGAATGATAATTTTCCCCCCTAAAGGATTATACTCAGTTTTGCTGGGTACCTGCTTCTTGGTTGTAATCCTATCTCCTCTGCCCTCCAGAATATTATATTCCATGCCCTCTGGTCCCTTAATGTAGAAGCTGCTAAATCTTGTGTTATCCTGATTGTGCTTCCACAATTCTTGAATTGTTTCTTTCTGGCTGCTTGCTGTTTTCTCTTTGACCTAGGAACTCTGGAATTTGGCTATAATATTCCTAGGAGCTTTCCTTTGGGGATCTCTTCCAGGAAGTGATCAGCGGATTCTTTCAATTTCTATTTTGCCCTCTGGTTCTAAAATATCAGGGCAGTTTTCCTTGATAATTTCTTATTTGTTTGTTTTTTTGGCTAGGCAATGGGGTCAAGTGACTTGCCCAGGGTCACACAGCTAGTAAGTGTTATGTTTCTGAGGCCAGATTTGAACTCAGGTCCTACTGAATCCAGGGCCGGTGCTCTATCCACTGTGCCACCTAGCTGCCCCCTGGTAATTTCTTGAAATATGATGTCTAGGCTCTTTTTTTGATCATGGCTTTCAGATAGTCCAATAATTTTTAAATTCTCTCTCCTGGATCTATTTTCCAGGTCAGTTGTTTTTCCAATGAGATATTTCACATTGTTTTCTAATTTTTCATTCTTTTGGATTTGTTTTACAGTGTCTTGATTTCTCATAAAGTCACTAGCTTCCAATTGCTCTATTCTAATTTTTAAGGAAATATTTTCTTCAGTGAGCTTTTGGACTTCCTTTTCCATTTGGCCAATTTTGCTTTTAGGGCATTCTTTCTCACTGGCTTTTTGGACCTCTTTTGCCATTTGGGTTAGGCTATTTTTTAAGGTGTTATTTTCTTCAGTATTTTTTTGGGTCTCCTTTAGCAAGCTGTTGACTTGTTTTTCATGATTTTCTTGCATCACTCTCATTTCTCTTCCCAGTTTTTCCTCTGCTTCTCTTACTTGCTTCTCAAACTCCTTTTTGAGCTCTTCCAAGGCCTGGGACTGCTTCACATTTTTCTTGGAGACTTTGGATGTAGGAGCTTTGACTTTGTTGTCTTCTTCTGGTTGTATATTTTGATCTTCTTTTTCACCAAAGTATAGTCTGATTCTTTTTGTGCTGCTTGTTCATGATCCCGGCCAATTATTTGAGTTTTAAACTCTTTGTTAAGGTCAGAGTCTGCTTCCAATGTGGAGAATGTACTGTCCCAAGCTTCGGGGGGTTTGTACAGCTGTTTTCAGAGATACTTGTAGGGGCTTGTAAATTTTCAGTTCTTCCAAGGTGGTATGATAAGGGGTGAGGTGTTTACTCCTTTCCTGGCCTGTGCTCTAGTCTATGAGCGACCACAAGCACTCTTTTCTGCCTTGGAACTGTGAGGAAGATTTCTTTTTCGCAGCCACTACAAGCTCCACTACACCAGCGCTCCTCCTCACCCCAGGACTGCCCCTCAGAACTGTGACCCAGATCCAAGTATGGGCAAAGCAAGAGATTCCTGCCTCAGCTGGCAAAGAGATCCCTGCAATCCCCCTCTGATCAGCCACCTGATTCCCCCTCAGTCTGTGGGCTGGAAGCTCAGGAGGCAGCTGCTGCCCTGAGACTGGGCTCACTAGGGAACTGAGTCTGAAACCTGGCTTCTCTCTCACTGCAGAAACAGACTTTTCCCACTGACTTTCTAGGTTGTCTTTGGCATTCGTGGGTTGAGAGGTCTGGAAACCACCACTGCTGCCTGAGATTCAGTCCTCTGAGGCCTGCTCTAGCTTTGCTGTGGGCAACGAACTGCAGTCCTCTCCCAGCCAGCTGCGATATACCTTTCTGATCAACCATCCAAGTTGTCTTGGGCTGGAAATTTGTTTCACTCTGTCTTTTTTGTGGGTTCTGTTGCTTTAGAATTTGTTTAGAGCCATTTTTTACAGGTATTTAGAGGGCTTTGGGGGAGAGCTTAAGCAAGTCACTGCTTTCACTCTGCCATTTTGGCTTCCCCCGAGAAGCAATATCTACTACTACTAACTACTACTACTGCTACTACTATTACTACGTCTACTACAACTACTACTACTAGCTATGATTTATATAGTGCTTTAAAGTTTGCAAATGCTTTATAAATATTATCTCATTTTATCATCACAACAACCTGTTTCCTAGGGTAGATGGAACAAAGGAAACAGAAGTTAAATGACTTCCCAGAGTCACACAGTTATGAAGGGCCTGAGGCTAGGTTTGAACTCAGGTCTTCTTGATACCAGGTCCAGAACTCTTACCTACCACACTGCCTAGGGACCATATATAAGTATACAGAAAATATGGTGAGGTACTAGCAACTGGAAGTTTCAGGAAAGGTTGTCCTATTAGAAGTGACATTAGAACGAAGTTTTGAAGAAAAGTAGGGATTCTAAGCAATGGAGGTAGTGGAGGAGTACATTGCAGGCACTGGAGACATCCTGTATAGCAACATCGAGTCAGGGGCTGGAATAATGTGGATGAGGGACAGCAAGAAGACTTGTTTGGCTGGATTGCAGAGGCTGTGAAGGGGAGTGGTGGATAACAAAACTGGAAAGGTAGTTTCAAGCTAGGTTGTCAAGACTTTAAATGCCAAACCAAATAGTTGATCCTAAAAGTCATAGGGACTCACAGAAGTCTATTGAGTAGGGGAGTAACATAGTCAAAGCTATACTATCATTTTGGCAGTTGTGTGGAGGTGTATACTTTCAAAACTGTCCTGCTTCTGCTGTATTGTGCATTTTTAAAAATGTTACAATGACTTCTTTTTTTCGTCACTATTGCTAGTCTAACTTTACCTCAATCCCTTCCCCTCAATCAAAAACCAAGTGAGAAGAAAAAAAAGCGGAACTATTGCAGCAAATAAACATAGTCAAGTAAAACAAACCCGCACAGTTGCTATGTTTGTCTCTGTATCTTGTACCTGTCGTATGAGGTGAGCAACATGCTTAATCGTAAGTCCTCCGGAGACATGGTTGGTCATTGCATCAATTAGGATTCTTAAATCTTTCTAAGCTGTTTTTCTTTACGTTGCTGCTGTCCTTGTATAATTATTCATATGACCCAAGACTCTCTGAAAGTCCCCCTTTCGCCATTTTTTATGGCAAAATAGTTTTTCTTTATATTCACGTACCATAATTTGTTTGGTCACTCCCCAATCATCTAATAGGCAATTTTCTTCCCTTCTAATCTCCCTTTTGGGATTAAGAAGTTTGTTTTGCTAGTGACTGTATTCATTCCACAGTATTATCTTCCCTCTTAACCTTTTTCTATCCTATCTCCACCTATTTCCCTGTTGAGTTTGATATATTTCCACACCAAACTGTCTGTTTGACCCTCCTTTACCCATTTAAAACAAGTGAGCTTCATCTGATGTCAATTCCCCCACCCTTTCCTCCATGTTTGAATATTTTTCTTATGTGCCCCAATTATGAGAATAGTATGGTCTACCCCATTCTTCCTCCTTTCTACACTAGTGTAGCCCTCCTTTTACCCTTCCTCCTCTTTCTTCTCTTACAACCTTGGAACAGAATCAATATTTTTCTTACTTAACTCCCATCGTTCTCTTGGAAGACACTAGGGTTCTGAAAGGATATTTATTTCTGGTACCCCTACTAAACCATTAGTACAACATCATCACACAGCCCCATCTAATCATTCAAACAAACTTACTTTTCTAGGTTTCTCTGGACTCCTATGTCTGTATTTCAAATTTTCTCTGGTCCTTTCATCAGAAATAATTCAAAGTTCTTTATTGCAGTCACTATATCCACATTCAAGGGCTTTCTAGCTTGGCATTCCCTGCCGAAGCTCATCCTCCATTCTCAGAGCCTTAAATGAGGCCTCCCTGCCACAACAAGGCAGCAGAGGAAATACTATATGCATTTACATTTAAAAGTAACATGGCTGTTTTTGCACTGATTATTTCTGGACATTTTTATCCTCTTCCATATTTCTCTACTTTAAAATTTTTATTTTCTGCCTCAATCTTGAATGTTCTCAATGCATCATCTAGGCTGTCTGTGGGGAGCATAATTTTCCAGAATTGTTGAGTACCAGGAAAATTCTAAAGATGATAGGATCATAGGTTTAGAGCTGAAAGGGACCTTCAAGATTTTGAGTCCAGTCCTCTCATTTTAGGGGTGTGGAAACGGAGGTTGAGAGATGCTAAGAGATTTGTGTGGGATCAAGCACCTACTGAGTGTCTGAGGTAAGATTAAATTCAGGTCTCCCTGACTCTAAACCCAGTACTCTGTCCACCACACCACATCACTACCTAGATGAGCCAGCTACGGGGATACCAGTATATTGAAATAGATGGAGTGAAGACTGGGGAGTGGAAGAAGACACCCTCCCCCACACCCAAGATACTTACCCAGATGGCCCTGAAACAGTCCTTGTAGGAAATTTTCTTTACACAGGTCAAACTCGGGCTCGTGGTACCTGTCAGGACCTCTTTAAGCTTATTACATTTTTCCTGCTCATTTTCTGATTGGACACACCATCTCACCTGTTGCTCTGTAGTAGCTAGGCACAACCCTAGTGGAAAGATGCCAGAGGGAGAGAGGGAGGAAATAAGTGACCCCATAATCTTTGTTGAGAGAGATTTTACTGGCAACAAAAAAGGCAAGTCGGAGCTCTTAGCAAGAGCCATATGCTCTCTTCTCTGGTAGTCATTTTCAGGAGCACACCAGGGCAGTTTCCATTTTGATCCTCTATAATCACATATAAGATAGGTAGCTGTGCCCCTGTTGGAACCTAGGAGTAGCTGGGTGAGAGGACAGCTTGTTTTACCATCAATTTGTGATTATCCAGAACAGATCATTTTATTCTCCTGATATTTCCCATTGGGGGTGGGGAAGCCAAGGGGAATAAAAGAAAACTACTTCTCCCATATTAGCTTGTTCTTCATTAGTCTGCTTTTTGTATTATTTGGTTCTTAACAAATCTTACATTTTACTAGAGAAGGCATAACAAAGTCCTTCATTTACATATGGATTAAAATTATATCTTTATCTTCGACAATCATTGGTAACTGATACAGGTTTTAGGGAAGTGTGTTCTAGGTAGGGTGATTTCCTCTGAATTTGTTACTAGCTAATTTTCCTTACTCATTCTCATACCTGATGCTATAGAGATCAAAGAGTATGTTCTGATATTTCCACATTAATTTTAATACTAAAAATGCAATATCTCTCCCTATTAATCATTTCCAGGTGGCTAGCTGGTTTATTTATTAAATATTGTTTATTTTTTAAAACTAGTAAGACCTATTTTCCCATAAGCATTTGTTCATGTCTCTACATATATAAAACTCTTTAATCTCCTAGGATTAAAAAATAATTGACTAGACTCTTTTTCTAAAAAAAACCAAAAAATTAAATAGCTTCATTTTTTGTCTTTCTATTTTATTTTTATTACATTAATTTTTTTTCACATTCATGTTAAAATTTTGAGTTCCCAAATTCTCTTTCTCCCTCCCTCCAGCCCTCCATCCTCTCCATCCATTGAGAAGGCAAGCAATATGATACCCATTATTCATGTGAAGTCATACAAAACATACGTCCATATTTTGGCTATACTCTTTATGGTATATACTATGCCACATGATACTATACTACACCTTACCATACCATAGCATATCATACTGTGCTATGCCATGCCATATCATGCCTTACCAAATAATACTATGCTATGCTATGTTATCTATCTATCTACTATTTACAATACAGGGCAACAAACAATAAAACAAAGATATAATTATCTGATCAACTGTGAGAAAGTTCTCAACTAAAGTCCTCTTTAACCATCACTACGCCTTCTGACTTCTTAACTCTAGAAATAGTCTATAGACCCCAAGTTAAGAACCTCAGCCTCAAATCCACTTTCCCACTGAAAATTTTGTTGTAATAAGAACACTTAAGGTCAGCTCACACAATAACTACTTCTGATAGGGTTTACTGTCTTTCACATCAGGAGTCTTCCACCTCTACTGAGAGAAGGGAAGTATGTCTCATTGTCTGTTTTCCTAGAACCAAGATTATTCATCATAGCTAATCAGAGCTAAGTTCTTTTAAGTCTTGTTTTTATTTTCATTGTTGTAGTCATTGGCTATGTTGTTCTTCTGGTTCTACTCACTTCTTGCCTTTACCCAGTGATGTCTCTTTGAACTCAACTAGACCAGGAGGCAAGGTGATGTACTAAAGAGAGAACTAGGTTTGGATCCTGGGTTTGAATCTTCCATTGAGTACCTTGGGTAGCCTTGGGTAAGTCAAGTAGCCTCAGTTTTCCCTTCTATAAACCCCAGAAATTTACATTAGAAAATCCCTAAGGTCCCTTCTGGCTCTAAAGTCTGTTGATCAGGTGGTCCTGAGACAATAGACACAGTAAGTTCAAATTTTTAAAACTTTCAAGTTTGGTAGGACCTAAGTCAGTCAATCAGTCAGTCAATAAACATTCATTAATTGTTTACTATTTGCCATGCACTGTGATAAGAAAGGTAAAAGACAGTCCCTGCCCTCAAAGAGCTCACAGCTAATGGTAGAGACAGCATGCAAAAAAAAGACAAAAACAAAAACAAAAATATATACAAACAAGATATGTACTCATATATAGACTCATTGATGTAAAATATTATCCACCTCCAAATTGAGAACTGACAGACTTGTAGTATTTTTTCCCATTGTTTATTGTTCTTGCTTTTTGGGAGGAACATAGCTAATGTGGAAGTATATTTTGTGTGACTTCATGTGTGTAATGGGCATTATATTTCTTTCCATCTCATTGGGTAAGGAAAGAGGTAGAAAGAAGAAAATTTAGAACTGAAAATAAAAATTATATGAAAATTTTAAAAATGCTTGTTGCCTCACTGACCTATGACACAATGCAAAAAAAGGGATCTCTTCCCTACAAGCAGGGTGTAAGTGTATAGAATGTCAGAGGACAGAGTGATCACTTCTGACTTTGGAATCAGGGCTGGACTTTGACTTTTGGACTTTGAGCTGGCCTTTACAGGGCAGAATTTTTAAAAGTAGTATTATAGGGTTGTCGGACAGAAGCAGAACAATGAATAGAGAGCATAAGCAGGTAAAGCATAAGGCATACTTGAGGTAAAGGGACAAACTGAGATACAGCTAGGCATTTTTATGAGGATGAGGAACAACAGTAGTTGTAAATGAGCCTGGGGGAAGGGGTGGTTAAAGTGACAATAATTCAGTAAATGTAAAAACCAAAATAAAATAATGATACTTCTATGTGACACAAGTCACATTTTATCCCTAATATCCTGTCACTGTGGTGTTCCTCTTCCAGGCCTACCTTCCCCTTCTCCTCTGAAACCCCATAGAGTCAAGGACCAGACCATCCCCTCTCTCAACATGACTGTGCCGTCTACTGAATTATTTGCAATGGGCACCTTTAAATAAAATTCTTCTCCTGATCCTAAATTAAAGAAAACATGTTCAGCCTTATCTTTTGGGGCAAAAAGGTATGTTTCCAACTAGAACTTGCCCTCTTGGCCTCACACTCTGCATGAAGGAAGGGAGGAGGAGCTTAAGAACTGGAGAATAGAATTTAAACTTTTAATTTTTTATTATTTTCCTTACCTATAACAACCCTAGTTCCAGGGCCATATATTCTAGATGGAGACTTTTAAAAGAGTGGCCAGAGGAGTCAAAGGGGGAAAAAACTTAGTTGATTTTCCCCTAACCCAGAAGCAGCCTCTGGAGCCCCTATCAGAGTAGGATGCTTCAGGGGATGGGAGGAAGGCAAAAAGTCCATCTGGCCTCCCCAGGAACTGGGCTCCACCAAGCAGAAGTACAATTAGAGCAGGCAAGGCAGAATCTTTATAGTTCTGGCCAATCTAGAAAGATTCTGGAAGAGGGTTGGAGAGGGACTCTGGCCTATCAGGTGACCAGGTCACTGATGACTCCCTTTTCTTCCCTGACCAGAGCCTCTCTTGCAGAAAGGAAGAAAGCAGTAAATGGAGGAAGGATGGAAGGAGAAAGGAAGGAAGGAAGGAAGGAAGGAAGGAAGGAAGGAAGGAAGGAAGGAAGGAAGGAAGGAAGGAAGGAAGGAAGGAAGGAAGAAAATATAGTAACACTAGTGGCTGTGGGCAATGGATGTTTCTCACAGACTGGGAAAGACACCCCTGCCCACAGTGGGCTCTAGGTCCCAGGCAGCCCCACCATGTCATGAGGAGTGTACCTGGGCACTTCTGGGACACCTCTTCCTTCTGCTGCCTGTAAGAAATCAGTTACTGCAAAACCATCTCCTCCCCACCCTCTCCCCCCAACATTGCTGGCATTCTTTCTGTAAATTAGAGTCCAGCCACTGGTCACTTACCTAGTATCCCAAAGAATAACAAGACAGGGAGGGTGAATTGCATTTCTTAGCTGATTCCAGGTTTTGCAGCGAGGGTGTGGTAAGGTGTCTTACTGAATGATCCCTTGGGTCCTGAGATGGCTTCTTAGCTGCTCTGCTGGTCCTGTTAACAGAGAGATGGAACTGTTAGTAGAATTAGTGACCTATGTTTGTCTTTCCTTATTGCTCAATAGTTACTCAAGCCTCTCCCCCACCCCCTCCCCTCTTTGTGCACACAGACACATACATAGGTTCATACCAATAAGTCTGTTTTCTGGAAGGCTTGGACTCTGTCACAGCCCTGGAGAGCAGGTTTAAGGGGGAGCAGAGGGAAGGAATGTGGGTTAACAGGATTGGGGTCAGAACAAAGGAAAAGGGAGTCTCAATTCTTTGTAGGTTCTTGGGCTGACAACTAAGAGACAGTATAGCACCAGTCTGACAATGATGCTCTTAATACCATGCTAACTTCACTGATTGTAGCAATTTGCCAGTGTTTGTCTTTCCTTGTTGTCTAATACACACTAACTTTTCATCCTGCCTTGTCCCACACCCCTTTTCACTCCACACTCCCACTCAGTCTACCCATTTTCAGTAAGGCTTGGGCTCTAGTGTAGTGCCTATCATAGCAGGTTTGGGTGGGAGCAATGAAAAGGAATGCTGATTCCTGAAGAGCCAGGTGAGAAAAGGAATAAAGGAAAAACAGCAGATGTTTACAGAGGTCCAATTCTGTACAAGTGCCATGAAGACTTGGTCCTCTGGGTGGAAAGAATGCTAGATGTGAAGTTGGAGCGTCTGGATTTGAATTTCAACTGTGGCATTGCTACCTATGTAAGAACTTGGGTAAACCACTTAAGGCTTTAGTTCCCTCATCTGTAAAATGAAGGGGCTGGATATGTACAAAAACATTAATAATAGGTCTTTCCAGGGCAGCTAGATGGCACAGTGGATAGAATACTGGCCCTGGATTCAGGAAGACCTGAGTTTAAATCTGACCTCAGACACTTGACGCTAGCTGTGTGAGCCTGGGCAAGTCACTTCACCCATTGCCTTGCTCCTCCCCCCAAATATGTCTTTCTGTAGCAGCTAAAAACTGGAAACTAAGGGGTACCCATTTATACCATAAACAAATTTGGGTAAGCAAATATAATGAATATTATTGTGTCATAAAAATAATGAAATGGACAGTTTCAAAGAAAACTAGGAGGATCCATATGATCTGATGTAGAGTGAAATGAGCAGAAGCAGGAGGGCAGTTGTTGCAATAACAACAATATTATAAAGAAAAGCCACTTTGAAAGACTGAGGAATTCTGATCAGTGCAATGACCAACCAGGATTCCAAAGGGCCTCTTGACAGAGAGGTACAGGACTTGCATTTTTGGACATGGTCAATGTGGGAAATTGTTTTGAGTTTACATATTTGTTGCGAAGACTTCATTTTTTATTTTTACTCTTTGCTCAACTGTGGGGGGAAGGGAGAGGAAATAAGTGCTTGTTAATTGAAAATAGGTAATTATTTTTTTATATGAGGCAATTGGGGTTAAGTGATTTGCCCAGGGTCACACAGCTAGTAAGTATCAAGTATGTGGTCTGAGACTGGATTTGGATTCAGGTCCTCCTGACTGCAGGGCCGGTACTCTATCCACTGTGCCACCAGCTGCCCCGAAAAAAAGGTAAAATTTTAAAAGCAAAATGAAGAGGTTGTATTAGCTAGTCTCTGAAGTCACTTCCACCTCTAACTCTAGATCTCTTAAAGGAGAGCATGGTATGATGGGAAGAATCCTTTCTTAGGAAGCAGAGAACCTGAGGTTTGAAGCCTGGCTCTGCCACCACTGTAAGAGGGCAGAATATGTCCTGCCCTAATTATGCCAATTGTAGGGTGGCATGCCATCTGAGAGAACACTGAGATGTCAAAGAAAGAAGGACTCATACAAGCTTCTTTCTTCCCTTTGATGCACCATCACGTTCTGTGATTAAATCCCCCTGCTCCCCATTCTAACAGTGATACATCTGTAGGCAGGGCGCTGTGAGCTTTAGTCCATCATGTTTCAGACCTGTTTTTCCACCATTTCTTCTATTTTACTTCCTTGTACTCCCTGCTTTTCTTGTGTATTTTTAGAAAGAAATCTCTTTACCCTCTTCCTGTTGTTCTTTTGTTGATGTCCCCGCAGGCGATATTTGTTTTTCTTTCCTGTATTTCTGTTGTCTCCGGTAGCCCAGATCTTCTGAATTCCAAAGTAACATTGACTACCCTGGCCCCCACCACCTGAAAGCCAGTTTACATTTCATTACAATATATAACATTATGTAGTATATATAATAATTATGCTATATATAAATTATATATAATATAATATTATATATATATTGCTATTATATATTATAATTTACCCCATCCCCAGGGTTCTCTGATACCTTTTAGGGGGATTGAGGGGGAAATGACCCTAGCAAATGGCTCCAGGCCCAATCAATGGTGATCCCCAAGTATAAGGAGCACTCCTGCATCCACATTTCATTTTACTTCTAACAGTCAGATTCACTTTTACAAGGAAATATTCACTCAAAGATATAACCACAAATGTTCAAACTTACCCCCCCAGCCTGTGGGAGGCATAATCCCCCTCCCCTCCCCAAAGCCCCCTGCACCGCCTCGGTCTCTGGGGAGGGTTAGGTTCACAGTTAAGTTCAGCTCCTTTAGAACACTCAGTCCCAGTCCCAGTCCTCTTTGAGAATGAAGGCCAAACAACAACCCAGGTGCAAGTTCAAAACCTTCCTTGGGCGCGTGTCGCAGGCTTCTTTGGGCTTCCCTGCCCAGCTAGCTGCATCATCCTGCTTGTAATCCAGGCTCCAATATCACTATGGTTCAAACTACTGAGTCGAGGGAGATGACCACCAGCATGGGAAATGAAGAAACTGAGGACATGTGGTGACAAACCGTACCCTCCCTGAGGCCCATTTCTCCAAGTGGGGTAAAAGAAGAAGACTAGGGGATCAAAGTTCTTCCCTTCTCACTGGTTCATTTCATGGCACTGAGGTGGCATTGTGGGTGAACTGGGATCTTCACCCTCTGGGAAAGGTAGGAAGGAGCTTGAAGGAAAGAGTCTTTGAGTCAGTGGTGGAAAGAGGTTGGCTTTTCTCAGTCTCACCAGTCCTAAAAACACAGCCTTTCTGGCTATGCAGCCAATCTACATATACCCACCCATTTGGTAAGGGACCAAGAGTGCCCCCATCTTAGGAGATCTGGGCATGCCCCAGCAGAGCCCCCCCCCGCCCCAGAAGCACCTCTTTATTAAGTGATTTGGGCATACCCAGACCAGCCTAGGTTGTACAAATAAAGTGCATTTCCTATTACATCAGTTGCCTCTCATCATGCAGTTGCAGCCCTTGAAGTTTGTCCTTGATGTTACTAAAGAAGAGGTCAGCTTGTACAGTGAGGACATGTCATGAAGCAAGTGAAAAACTTACCTATTCCAGGGGCACTTCACCCCCTCCAAATTCTCCACCTCAGACTGACTTCCTGCCAGCAAAGACAGACTTCTGCCCACTGAAAAGAAAAGCATTTGGAGCATACAGTGCACAAACATCTGTTGTTGTTCATCCTTCATTTTCTAAGAAGACCAGTGACATCATGGGGCGATGTCTTGACTTGTGCAATTGGATTGAAGTGAGGCAGAGCAGAACAAAGTTGTTAGCCTCATTTTCTCTTCCAGAGTCATCCTCCTCTAATGTTCTCTTCCACCCATTCCACCCAGGGAAGGATTCATATCTGTACACCCATATGTCCAGAGTAACTGTGTGTTAGAATGTTTGATAACAGAGAATTTTCATAGAACTATGGTGGTTGTGGGGGAGGGAGAGGTGTTGGTTTTGTTTTGTTTTGTTTCTATTTGTTTTTGTTAAAGAGGAGTTGTTTTTAAGAGCTAGAAGTAATCTGTAAAGTGTTGCTGTAACTAATTCCATTTTGTTCTGTATTTGTCATTTTTGCTCTCTGATAGCTCAGCACTTACTGTAGGGACATCTGAAAGCAAAATGTCACCTTCAATACTGTATCTCCATTCCTTCTAACCACTGTACAAAAGAAGGCTCAAGAGGACTTTGATAACTGTCAAGTACAAAACAAAGATCTCAGACCTCATCAGTGTCTTGTAAGACTTGCTAAGTGATAGGTCTAGAATTTCTAAATTCTGTGTTGCAAGAGAGGCAGCTAGGTGGTAGGGTAAATGGAGCACTGGGTCTGGAGCTGGGAATATCCATGAAGTTCAAAGTTGGCCTCAGATACTTACTAACTGTGTGACCCTGGGTAAGTCACTTAACCCTATTTGTTCTTTCAATTTCTATTTGGCCCTCTGGTTCTAATATATCAGGGCAGTTTTCCTTGATAATTTCTTGAAAGATGATGTCTAAGCTCTTTTTTTGATCATGGTTTTCAGATAGTCCAATAATTTTTAAATTCTCTCTCCTGGATCTATTTTCCAGGTCAGTGGTTTTTCCAATGAGATATTTCACATTGTCTTCTATTTTTCATTCTTTTGGATTTGTTTTACAGTGTCTTGATTTCTCATAAAGTCATAAGCTTCCAATTGCTCTATTCTAATTTTTAAGGAAGTATTTTCTTCAGTAAGCTTTTGGACTTCCTTTTCCATTTGGCCAATTTTGCTTTTTAGGGAATTCTTCTCCTCATTGGCTTTTTGGACTTCTTTTGCCATTTGGGTTAGGCTATTTTTTAAGGTGTTATTTTCTTCAGTATTTTTCTGGGTCTCCTTTAGCAAGCTGTTGACTTGTTTTTCATGATTTTCTTGCACCACTCTCATTTCTCTTCCCAGTTTTTCCTCTACTTCTCTTACCTACTTCTCAAACTCCTTTTTGAGCTCTTCCAAGGCCTGGGACTGATTCATATTTTTCTTGGAGACTTTGGATGTAGGACCTTTGACTTTGTTGTCTTCTTCTGGTTGTATATTTTGATCTTCTTTTTCACCAAAGTATATAGTCTGATTTTTGCTGCTTGCTCATGATCCCAGCCAATTATTTGAGTTTTAAACTCTTTGTTAAGGTCAGAGTCTGCTTCCAATGTGGAGAATGTACTGTCCCAAGCTTTGGGGGGTTTGTACAGCTGTTTTCAGAGATA